TGGGGGATTCGCGGAACATGGTGAAGAGTTTCCTTTAGGATCTAGATAGATTCTGACCATTTCCCTAAGGATCTAGCTAGTTCAGGTCATTCAGAGCTGTCATTTCATTGGGAACAGGCGTCATTTGGGGCGATCGTGTTACGTGTGTGCGGGATCGATTTCCATGACCAACAGTATGGCAAATAAACTGGCCTCATGTTATTTATTAACCAAGTGAAGTTGAATGAGGTGAAGAATGGAATCAGAGAAGAAATTGAGACAGTCGGTTGGGAAATGCAATGCGTTTGCAGGAAGTTCGTTGACCACTGAAGAAATGCGAGGGTGTCCGCTGAGGTTGCAGAAGATCAAGGCAAAAATCGGTTGTGATCTACAAATCAAAAATGTTGATACGCAATAAAGAGAGGCAAAAGTCGGTCTTATTTTGTGGTGTAAGTCCCGCCATCTTCATGTACAAAGTCTTTTGCGCAGTCTAATATTAAATCTGTTCGACGTCCAACGGGAACTCCTTTACCACATCCAGCACAGGAAAACAATTGACTCGGTCGCAACCTCAAACTCAAAAGCTTACAACTACGTACGAAGTAAAAAAGAAAAAGAAAAACCCCTATACCCGCCAAAACTTGGAGTAAGTATTCCTTGCAACAAGCAAAGCGCTTCGATTTTTTCCTTTCCTTACAACAAAAGGGAAAACAGAACGACTTGAGTACATAAATCAAGTTTGTACACAACAAGTATTATTTGAGTAGACTTACAAGAACCCGACGCCCTTCTCTCTTTCTGTTTATCAAACTTCCTCGGTTCAATCAAACGAAAATACCCCACAACTACATCCTTCTCTTGTGCCGTGTTGTAGTCTAAACATCGCAGCACATAATATCATCTTCTTTGACTCTTTCATCACGATGGCTGCTGGTCGCGTTATCGGAAAAATCAGTGCCGCCGCGGCTTCGGCCGTTGTTCTGCAGGCGGTGAATTTTTATCTTTTTGCGGACATGCTCTTGCAGACGAGCCAAGTAGCGGGGATGAGAACAGTCGGAAGTCCTCGTGGTACTGGTAGTGCTGGTGCTGGAAGTGGAAGTGCTGGTGGGCGTCCTTCTTCGTCTACTCGTCGTCGACGAACTCCATCTCCATCTCGTGCTGCATCTTCATCTGCGTCAGCTATTATTCAGAGCAAACACCATCCCTGGATGTCTGGGAAAGTGCAAAGAAACTTCTGATGCGTCTCGTGGGTCAGACATGATTGCCAAAAGTTGTCCATTTTTGTTGACAAGTGTGGGAGGAAGTTTCTCATGATACATACCTAGTCATCATACATACTAGAGACCGCACAGAATCTGAATCTGTCATTCTAGGTCCTGCATTCGCATTCCAGATCTCATGGGGCATAGAAAACCTGCACGACATCAAACCTTGCACCCTTCCAGGCCCAAAAATATTTGCAATGCATACCGTGCGCCGGACCCGGACGAGCTCCCTCCCGCTGTGGTCGTCCGTCCAGTCGTCCCAGAAGTCCTCGTGCATCTCGAGATGCCGTGCCTCCTGCCGCCACGGCCGTGCAAGAACATACATCCCCATCTCGTTTTGGTCCGGATCCCACTCCGGAGAACGTCAAAGCGCGCCACGACATGGCAATCGTAGCGGTGACCCGCTTGATTTTTAAGTACCGCTTCGATGCGCTGCAGCAGGCACGACACAAGGAAATGATTCTGATGCTGAAAGACATAAAAGGAAAATACGGCGACTCCTATAATACAATCAGGGCGAAAATGGCAGCGGACAGGATGGACGTCGACGAGATCGACGCGACAGCGGACATCCTGGCGCGCGAATACGGTCCTGGTTACCTAGAATTCTTCCGGAAGGACTTCCGCTTTGAAGAGAGCTTCCCACATGACCTCCAATTAGCACTGTGTGGGTCCAACCTGAAGACCGCGTATCTTGATTGGCTAAAGGCGACGAGCCGCCTTGACGAATTTAACAGGCACGACCATCCGGCAAGCGCAGACGCGACCAAGGACTTGAGTGACAGGTTTACGAACCTGGTGAAAGCAGAGATGTCAGAGATTTTATCAATCCGCATCATATCCCACAGAAAAGAAGAAGCACGCCCATACTATAGTACCTCCAGAGAACAAAAACTAGACTTGCGCTCTTGCTGTATAATTTTTCGGCCCCCCAAAGAGGACTGCGTAATGCGGAGACGCCAAGAGATAGATGATGGAGAGGCAATTTTTGTAATGTTACGGAATGCAATTACCATTTCTTGTACAAGCGCAGAAGAAGTTTCGTGATTACTAGAGTGAGCGGCGCCAAGAAATTTGTCATGCTGAGAAAGGAGCGTCGATAAACCGCACTCAATTAAGTTTATAAGTATTTTGTTTCGGGAATTGTAGGTGTAGTACTTTCTTGTGGGATAGCGCACTCTGCCGGAGGATGAAGCTGACGCGGCGGAGGTCCCTTATCCAGGATGAAAGGTCGTCCACCCGTTAGTGTAGTTTGTTCGGCTGCAGAACAGCATCGCAAGTTGGTCTCGCATGACGGAAAAATCCACCTTACGGCTACGCGCCAGCTAGTGGTATAATCGATGGATGAAGTCACGAGTGACTCTATATCAACACACAGATATAGTATATTTTCCAGCATGACCTATGACCACAGAGACAGGGAGAGGCGGTGACAGCGTTGTCGATAGAAATGCTCGTTGCTGTTCTGCATGTTGTACAACGGATTTGCACTGGCGCAGCTGTTTTTGTGAATACCCTGGGCGTCGAGGTCATCGTGTCTGAACAAGGGCGGGAAGAAAAACGCATGTTCGTTCCCGCCGCCGCGTGGGGGTGGAACGGTGGCAACACACACCGAGACGAAACGCGTCTCGTTGCTGACATTCTACCAGACATCGAAAAGGAGGTACGCTGGTTTCTGGATCCGTCGTACGAGCATGACCTCGAGCTGTCCCGCGAAGGCGAAGGACTTGGGTCGCAACGTGGGGACAAGATTTCTCCTTTGCAGGTGGGGCACACTGTGCGCTTCAGGGTCACCGGTAGATGGAGCAACCCCACTCTCTTTGGAGCAACCCCAACTGAGAGTCTCAGTCCTGAAGTGAGGCTGGTCGCCCTCCAGAGAAGGGAAACGGAAGTCGCCACGGTCTTGCCCTCGCTAGAACGCGCCATCCGTCGGGAGAAAGAGCGCTTGAGCGGACGAAAACCTGGTCGCGGCGTGAGAAGGGCTTGTCTGCGCCTCTCTGATCTCGGTGGCTCGCGCGGAGGACCGCAAGATTCGCATGTTCAACAGGTCTACGATCAGTATGCGCAACACCGTATGGAAAGAAAAAAGAAAGCCAAAGCCATCGCCACCGTCATGTCGCGGCTGATAAATTGATCATCATAATAATCAAATGTTTAAATTTTTCTCTGAACGAAAGGGAAAGTGAAGCTACAACTTCGCAAGAAAAAAAGACAGGCGCTCTAAAAGTATTGCTTGCTGGCATTATATTGGTCGAAAAAAGCAAGATTATCGGACATGATTTGCGATCAACTCAGTACAGAAGGAATATGAAGGAAAGGAAATTTTATGCATTCGTTCGCACAGACGAGCTGCATGAAACAGAAGAAGTGGCGCAGAGCAGAAAGTGGTGGCGGTGATGGTCGTCGTTTTCCTCTCTACAAAGCTTAACACAGTGCGGAACCATATCCGGGCGGTTAGGCGGCGGTGAAAGTCTCAGTGAGGTGTTACAGGTCGACAGGGGTCGAAGTCGAATAATTTGAACATACTTGCTACATGCAATTTTACAAGCTGACGCAAATTTTGTGTATGTTCGAACTCTCCGCGTGTTTAGTTTAGCAGCGGTCCGTGCGTAGCGTAGCGTAGCAAGCTAGCAAGCATCTGTGCATCTGAACGCCACAAAAGAAGTTACAGGGTGATTTTTTCGAGCACTCCTCATCTTGAATCTGTAGAATGAAAAAGATGTACGCGAAGCTGAAGAGTTGTAACACCCCTGGTGAGTCTGCGTCGGGTGCCTGCTCATATCTAAGTCATTTTGTATGCACATGCTCCTGGTAACCAGGCAGTGGCATCCGCTAGAGGGCAGGATGCACGATGTGAAGTGCAGTCAGCTCGCAGCTGAAGCTACTTCGTATCGAAAGACCGTTGTATAATCAATCGACCCGACGCTTCTTGAAGCGAGAACCGCAATGAGCTGCCATCAGGAACAGGAAATAGAGAAAGTTGCCGGCGCGCTTCATGACGCCCGCCCACCCGAGGGGTCGCGCAGGCTCCTCCAGGCTCCGCTGTTCACCTCTTGAGTTATTCTTTCTTTCTTGGTCAATTTACCATCGTGGAAGGCCGCCTAATTTCTTTAAATTGCCTCTATAAAGCCGTCCTTTTTCGTCTTCCGCCGTCTAAGTACTTCCCACCAACAAACCACGCAAGGGCCGATGCCGCCTTCCAACGCGGGACGGTGTATTTTGCTAAACCCTAAACCTGGAAGATCCTGAAGTGATTTTGATCTCGAAAAATAAATGAACCCCGATCCTGAACTGGTGATGTAAAAAGAAGTATCGGTACAGCATTCAAGAAATATTAAAGCCTGGATCTTGAAATGATGATGGGGCCTGCCGCCTGAATCGAGAAAAAATAAAGCTGAATATAGTGGTGGTCTACTCTAGGTCTAGTCGGTTCTATTGAGCAAATTTTCATTTTTGACGCCATGGTGGCCGGGATCGGGAATTGAAATGCTGAGAAAGAGAGAAAGCCTAAGTAGTCGGGTTTGTGTTGTAGGTAATTGTATACAAGCCCTCGATGTTGCCAGCCAAGCCATGCCTTCCAACCTCTTCCTGCCAACAAACAGCAGCAGTGTGGTAAGTTCCGCGCTTTGTCTTGAAAACATTTTGGAGAGAGCGGGGTAACAAACCAAATCTGGAACTTCGCGGTTGAGTTCTCATCCGGCCGGCCGGCCGGATGAGAACTCAACCACGTCACCGGCGGAATCGCTCCGGCCGTCCGGCCGGCCCAGTCGTCTTCTCCCCTCCCTCAACCGGTGGACCCATTCTGCTCACCCGCTGTTTCCGAGCCGCGTTGTTTTACTATGCAAACCGCCCCACTTTTGTCATGCAAAAACGGCGGAGAATGCCGAAACCGAGAAAAGCAGACTATATGCTTATGCTATAGTAATTTAATTTAGTTTCGCGCCAGGTACTACTCCTCTTTGTACGTCACGCCAGCTACTACAACTACCACAACTTACTGCTACTTCTACTTCAACTACTGCAGCCAAGTACTACTGGGTGCTGCTACGCACACCTTGGCTGCGAGTTAAACCAGACTCGCAACCCGCGGGGACAAGTCGCAACCTTCCGCGGCAGACGAAGCGCGCCCTCTGTATCTCCGAAGAAGCGCATTGATACCCAGGTTATTGGAGTAGACCGCCCGCTTCTGTCTCTGTCCAAATACGGGGCCCCGTAAGAACAAGCATGGGGAGACAGACGGCAGCACGCTGCTGCTGTCGAGGGTGGTCGAGTCTCAGACTTAAGCACCAAAATCGGACACCAAACGTACCGAATTGGCAGAGCTTTAGCAGACTTGTAGCATATTACTAGCATACTACTAGCATAAAACTAGAACGATCCTCGATTAAACTAGAATGACAGCAGCAGTGTGGTAAGTTCCGCGCTTTGTCTTGAAAACATTTTGGAGACCATCAAGAAATTTCAACACTACATCTCATACATAGGTACCCTCCTTTAGAGATTTTGAAGACCAAGAAACTTCAACACTACATCGACTGATAGACACGACCCCCCCTCTAGAAGTTGTGCTTCTAGACGTACATTGTCGCAAGGGCAGCTCATACGATATTTTTTGAAAAGTAAAAAATCCACATCCAGCCTGTATCTCGTTTGTTCAAGATTCAACGTTCAAAAATAATCTTTCAACCCCTGGAGATGAAGCTGTACAACTCGGCGCCATCTGTTCTGATTTTTTTTTTGCACTAAATTTTTCTCGTTTTACCTACCCTCGTTTATCAAACACAGGAACAAGAAAAATGACGCGAAGGTGTCACGAGTTGGTCCTGCGCCCCCGTGCTGCTGCCCCAGTGGTTGTGGGCATGTTGCTGGCCTCTTTTTCCGTGCAGCTGGCACTGCACGGGATTGTCCATCAAGTCGAGGCGCTTTCGTTGCAGGAGCTCGGACAGCCGGCGCGAGGATCTGCACTCTTCAACCGCTTTGCAGGTTATTTCTCTGGTGGTGGGGGGCAGAAAGAGAAAGTACCTGCGCGTCCTGAGCAGCGAAGGCCTTCTCGTGCGAAAGAGGTGGTGGAGGAAGAGGGGGAGTTACCTGAATGGAGCGTCATTACAGCTGCAAAACAGAAAGATCTGGATTTTGAAGATGTTGGCTGGACGAACATCGTTGACCACAGCGAAGAAGTTGTTGTAGGAGATGTATCGTCCCCCGCAAATCTTCAAGGTGGTACTGGTACTAGCATCCCAATAAATTCCAATAACCAGCAACCCGAGCAGCAGGAGCTTATTGAAAGTACCCCGGAAGATTTGCTCGTTCTGGATCCAGCCGGCTTGCAAAAGATTCGCGACTTGAATCTGCAAGACAAAGTGAAGCTGAAAGACCTAACTTTCGTCGGCACCCACGACATATCAAATGTAAAAATGTCTGGGTCTGGAAGAGTGCGAGGTTTGTCATGCACGTTTTGCATGAGCCATGATGTCTGTGATGCATACCCTAGCAATACAGATCTTTTGAAGGCTTCTTGATGCCTATTCCGCATGACAAATGCCTTCTCAGCGTAGCAAAAATTGCATTCCCTTTGGTACTCATGCAATACAGATTTTTTTGGAATAGGAATCCAAATGCAGCATCACAAGTTGCATTCTTCCAGACCCAGACATTTTTACATTTGATACGACAGCGGCAGTATTCGGGGTACGTTTGACATTTCCCGGGCAGGGAGGGTCGGCGCGCGGCTGATTCACCACGGGGCGGCTGCGGCTGCTGCCACATCTTCATATCTTGTCCCACCTCGGGGCCGCCGGGTCGCAGCTGCTTCTGACCCTCGGTCGATGAAGAGTCAACGTCAAGAAGAAGTGCACTCTACTTTCCGTGTAGAGGAGAACTGGGAGACCCAGAGTTTGTCCATCCTTGATCAGCTCCGCGCTGGCGCGCGGTGGTTTGACTTGAGATTCGTTCTGGATGCAGCCAGCGGAGCCGCCAACGAGGAAATTATCCGCGCGTACCATGGGGATTTCGGTTTCGGTGTGCGTCAACTAGCTGTTTCGGCCGATGCTGTTTTCGCGGACCTTGCAGCGTTCTGCTTCGAGAAACGGTTCGAGAAGGAAAGCCGAGACCAAGTGATTTTTTTGAACCTGAGAAGTAATGTCGACACGGCGGAGAAGCTGCTGAGGCGGTTTTTTCAGAAGTCGCCCACAAGAATTATAAAAAATAGAACATCAACTACCACCCTGGACGAGGAAGCTTCTGCTCTGGCAGACTTGTTGGTAAGCAGGACGCGGGGCCCGAAAATAATGGACCTGAACAAGAAAAAACATCTTGATGATGCAAGGCAGCGCCTGCTCGACGAGGAAAGCGAAACGGAGGATGGCTCCTCTTGGCACCTTCCAGAACGTTCTCTGCGACCCCCCCGAGGAGACGCCGCTTCTGTCCGAGTGGACGGTTGCCGAAGTCGTGAAGGCCGCACCAATCTTCGACGATTCCAAACGCGGCACGACTCTATTTCCAAGAAATAACCGAGGACCGAGGATTGTGGTGACCTACTACGCGGGTAGTTCCGAGGCTAAAAAGAAAGCCTATCGAGAGCTGCGGGGGCGGCTGCTAGGTACAGGTTCCGAAGAAACCGCGCAACTAGCAGACAGCGTTTTTTCGTTTCAAGACGAGTTTGTGGGTGGGTATTCGAGTTCCACGGACCTGTCAAAGGTGATGGACGGACAAGTGAAGAAGTTTCAGAATTTCATCCCCAAGCAAGTGGGTACTAGTACTCCGCTTTTCCGGTCTTCCTTCACATTTACCGGAGTTCCGCGAAATGAGGTGTACACGATTCTGGAAGAAAACTGCGAGCGGTGGGAAAGAAGAGTCGAGCACGCGAAGACGTTGATGTCCTCGTCGTCGTCCGCTGGTGAAAAAACATCAGTATCAAATGCAAATATGTCTGGGTCTGGAAGATTGCAACTTGTGATGCTGTCTCTGCATTCTAAAAAAATCTGTATTGCATGACCAGCAAGAGGGGTCCAGTTTGTGCTACATGGAGATGGCATTTCTCATCCGGGATAGGCATCAGAAAGCCCGCTAAAAATCTGCGATGCCAGGTTATCCATTACAGGCGTTATGGGTCATGTAAAATCTGCATGACAAGTCTGGCATTTTTCCAGACCCAGACATTTTTGCATTTGATAATAATCAGCACCACACAGCGCCTTCTACGCCGACAACCATGCGAAGGTGGGTGCTGACTTCGAGTTTGTGAAGGCGGCGGATTTATATCAACAAGCAGGAGCTTTTCCTTCTAGCGCCCGTCCTGTGCCTGAAGAACAAGCTTGGTGGGAAAAGCTGTGGCAACTACTGATGCTCGCGTCGTCTGGTGCGCAGAAGCCTCCGATGAAAGGCAGAGCAGTCAATCTCGTTACCGTAGATTTCCTTGGGAGTACGCTGTGGCGGTTATCCTGAGCAAAAACGTCCCCACGGTTCCCAGAGTTGCATTTATGCAAATCTGCATGCCAAAGAAAATTTCCCACGCGGAAACCCATGAGAAGCATTTTCTAGTCGTGTTTTGGACGTCGAATTTGTCATGCTAGAATCAGCGTGACATGCTATATCTGCGACGCTGCTGAACTAGCTGAACAGGAGTTTTACACTATGAAGGAACAAAGCTTGTCAACATGCGAAACAACCACTGCGAAACGACCAAAGCTGGTTGATTTGTCTAAAGTAGATTTCATCCCATCTTGAGGCTGGGGACGTTTTTGCACAGGATAACGGTCGAAGTATGGGCAACGACAATCCATTGTCGAGATGCTCAAAGCGTCGAACGTGGAACGGATTGAGTCTACTGCGCAGCAGCAGGCGCTGCGCACGTCAACAAATAAACGAAAAGCCACTGGTCGCGCAAGTACTTCTTCTCAGTCGCGCCGCCGAAAAAGGCAACGTCGAGCAGGACAGTTCGCCGCGCAAGACTATGGAAGCGTCAGGATTGAAATCGACAAAGTTGAAATGATTTGTCATGCATAAAATGGATGCCAGATGTAACCCAGTTCTCAACTGGCGCATGACAAATTTGGGTAGAGCCGAAATCCAGTTTGTAATGCTGTTTGGGTAAGGAAGACGCCTTTTGTCGTGCTACTTTAGCAGCTCTATTTCTACCCCTCAACAGGCTTACAACCTGCCTCCCTTGCCTACTCTGCAAGACAGGCATTTTGTGGGTTGCATTTTATGCATCACAAACTATTAGTTACGACTTTGACGATTTCAATCCTGACGCTTCCATAATAACCCCGTGGCAGACGGGCTTGCCGATCGAGTTCTTCCTGTTCCAGCTCAGCTTGTTCTATCAAATGCAAATATGTCTGGGTCTGGAAACCGAAACTTGTAATGCTGAGTTGTGAATAGTGAATTCTCGTCTGTAATGGTGCACAGCCAAGCATGAGAAATATTTGCGCAGCTTAGCGTTGCGCCTGCCGCATGAAAAACTGCGTTTGTGCCAGACAAGCATGACAAACCTTGCATCCTTCCAGACATCCGGACATATTTGCAATGCATACCTGCAGCCTGGAAAGGAATCCGGGCTGGTTGAAACGGAAATGAATGGTGAGCCAAAAAAGCGGGGACAGAATCGCAGCTACACCAACACCCGACTGATGCGCGATCATCAGGCTCACGGTGATACGGCGAATGTTGGTGGTCCTGAAAATTGTCGTGCCAGCGGCGCACTCGTCGACGACGAGGCCGTCAATAGCCTTTCGAAGAGACTGCAGGGTCTCTCCTTGGACACGCATCACCAGACCCGGCATCGTTCCAGATCCAGACCCAGACATATTCGCAATCCATATGTTCCGCAGAGTAGCAAGGTAGCTGCTGTACTGGAAGGCGATCATTTTTCCGATTGGGAGATGATTTGAAATCAGCATCCGCTGAGTAAGTACTTACTTAACGAGGTTTAATTGACACGGTCGTTCGATAAATGGACAGCAGAATCGTGTTATTTCTTGATCATGTTGAGGAACTCGAACTTCTTCTTCTACATAGGAGCAGACGAGATTCGAATAGCTTCGCCCGCTCGGTGTGACATCGCACACTTGCGCTAGAAGGAGCATTTTTCACAGAGTTCACCTGCCGCGACGGCGCGCGGTCCGTCGTTTCCGGTAGCAACTGAGAAAAACACTGCTTCTGCTGTTGTGCCGCAGTGCGTGTCCAGCTGCAAGGAAACCCAGCCGGAAGCACATTAAAAACGCATCCGCAGCGCACCCCAGCCGAAAATGCCTCTTCAGGGCATTTCTACCGAGCTGGTGGAGATCCAGCTAGAGACGCCCTCTCAGACGCAGCATTTGCATTCCTAGCTGGAAATCCAGCCAGAGAGGCCCCCTCCGTGCGTTTCCAGCTGGAAGGAAATCCAGCCGGGAACGCATTGGAAACGCACGCGCGACGCTTTTCCAGCTGGGAGCCCAGCTGTTGATGCCTTCTCAGTGCATTTCTTCTAGCTGGAAGTAAACCCGGCCGGAGACGCAGCGAAAATGCATCCGTGGCCTGATGGATGCCTTTTCGAGGCATGTCGAGCTGGGAACGCGGCTAGAGACGCCATCGCAGCGCGCTTCTGGGTGGAAATCTAGTTAGCGGCGCCGTCTCAGTGCGTTTCTAGCTGGAAACCCACCGAGCGACGCCGTCTCAGTGCGTTGCTAGCTAGAAATCCAGCTAGCGACGCCGCCCCGGTGTGTGTCCAGCAGGGAATCCAGCTAGCAATGCCGTCTCAGCGCCTTTCTAGCTGGACGGAATGAAATACAGCCGGAGAGGCAGCGGCAGCGTGTTTCCGGCTAGAGATCCAGGCAGAAGGCATCGCCAGCGCGTTCCCTGAACGAAATCCAGCCGGAGAGGCATCGCCAAAGCGCCCCCAACTGGAAGAAATTCAGCTTGCAACACCTTCGCAGGGAATTTCTCGCGTGAAATGGAGCCGGAGACGCCTTTTCAGAGCATTCCTAGCGGGAAACCCAGGCGGCGGCGTGTTTTTTTCTAGCGGGGAGGAAATTAATCCAGCCGGGAGCCAATGCATTACTTAAAGAGGCATCCGCAAGCAACGCGCCCCCAGCTGGAAATCGTTCGGGGGCGCCGCTTCGAAGAGTATCCAGCTGGAGGCGCCGTGGCAATGGAAGTCCAGCTTGCTGGAGACGCCATTTCGAGGGAAATCCAGAAGGAAACGCATCGAGCAGGCTGCTTCAGCGCACTTTCGCCCGGCCTTTTCAAAGTGTTAGCCGAAGACGATTTTCGTTTTCTAGCCTGGAGTCCAGCTGTGGGGAACACTTTGAAAAGGCATCCGCGGCGTATTGTGAGCTGGGATTCCAGGCCAAGACGCCTCAAGGCGTTGCCAGGTGGATAGATTTGCGGGCGGAGATGCCTCGGGGCATTTGCAGCTGTCAAGAATCGCAAGGCAGCTGATCTCTCTTCAGTTTTGCGGGTTTTCTTCCCGCGCTAGCAAAACTCTTCTGGCTACCCGGGGAAGGGTTTTCCTAGAAGGATGCTGCGCAGCAGGTATCGGGAAGCTATCGGGAAGGGGTGGCAGAGCTGAAGCTTTTCTCGGGTTGTTGTGCTTAGCACGGCTACTCCGGCTACCCGGGGCAAGGATCTTCTAGTAGGGCTGTGGGACGGTGTTCATTGGGATAGTGGAAAGGTATTGGGAGTTTGTTTCTTTTTCCCGAGTTGTTGTGTTTAGCGCAGTTATTCTGGCTACCCGGGGCATGGGTTTTCTAGTAGAATGGTGGGAAGATATTGGCGGAGGCATCCCTCTGCGCCATCGTTGCACGCCTTCCAGGTGCACCATCCGGGGCTGTGGTTGCCGCCTTCCGTCTCCGTCGGCTGCTCGTGATGTCTCCGTGCGTGCGATCGTCAGCTGAGGCGTTTTGTCCTTAGGTATTTCAGTAAGGAAGTGACACGCGATCGCGCAGATCCGAGCGACCCTAGATGAATTGTTGTGGTTCGCATAGCTTTTTTCCCCGGGTTGTTGTGTATAGCATAGCGCTTCTGCCTACCCAGGGGAAACAAAGGTTTCCGGTAGGATATTGGGAGGAAGTCGCCAGGATCCGGAAGAGTGCTTGGCTTTTCTCCCGAGTTGTTGCGTTTAGCATAGGCATTCTGGCTGCCCAGAGGGAGGGTTTCCGGTAGAATATTGAAAGAGAATTTGCAGGCTGGGAGTAGGATATTGGAAGCGGATGGGAAGTTTTTTTTCCCGAGTTGCTGCGTTTAGCATAGCTATTCTGGCTACCTGGGGAAAAGATTTCCCAGTAGGATACGGAAAGGGTATCTTCCGGATAGTTGGAGGATATTGGGAATGGATGGGAAGAGTTCGTTTTTTTGCCCAAGTTGCTGCGTTTAGCACAGCAATTCTGGCTACCTGGGGAAAAGGTTTCGTAGTAGGATACTGGAAGGATATCTTCAGGATAGTTGGAGGATATTGGGAACGGATGGGAAAAGTTCGCTTTTTTGCCCGAGTTGCTGTGTTTAGCACAGCAATTCTGGCTACCCAGGGAAAAGATTTCCCAGTAGGGTACTGGGAGGGTATCAGGATAATGCAGGAGCATTGGGATAGTGGTGGGAAGGTGTGGGCAATGGGATGGAGAATGTTGTTTGTTTTCCCCGAATTGCTGTGCTTAGCGCAGCAATTCTGGCTACCCAGGGGAAAGATTTCTCAGTAGGATAGGTGGCAATCCATGTACAGCTTGCAGGGATGCGATCGCCGCCTTCACTATTCGGCCGCCTGATCGCGTTGTTCTCCTCGGGCGCGCGATCAGCTGAGTTCTTTTGTTCCTTAGGGATTTCAGTAAGAAAGTGGCACGCGATCGCGCGGATCCGAGTGGCCCCCTACTTCACTCGCCGTTTCGATATGATGACATTGCGGCCCAATCTGTATGAATGATTTTAAGATCTAAGATTATAACTTGAAGATCTAAGCGCATGACTTTTGCGATGAGGATTCACATGCGGGGGGCCCTCGCCCCCCCCCGCGCCCCCCCCGCCCTTTCGATATGATGACACTGCGCCCCAATCTGTGTGAATGATTTTGAGATCGATGAGCATGCCTTTATTTAAGATCTAAGCCCATGACTTTTGAGATGACGACTCACATGCGGGGGGCCCTCGCCCCCCCCCGCGCCCCCCCCGCCCTTTCGATATGATGACGCTGCGCCCCAATCTGTGCGATTTGTAGATTATGACTTGAGATCGAAAGTATTTTTTGTGATCGAGATTATGACTCGCGATCGAGACTTGTGAAAGATGAAACTGACTACGATCAAAGATTAAGCCTTAGACTTTGCTTGATCGAGATGGGAAGGTTGCAGATAGATTATGACTGTGATATCATTTAAGATTCAGACTGAGACTACATCTGCGATGATGATAGAAGAGATTGAGATTTGATATGTGATCTAAGATTTAGATTGAGATTTAAGATTCAGATTGAGATTTAAGATTGAGATTGCGATTTAAGATGATTGGAGATTCGAATAAGATTTGAGACTGGGCTAAGATTTAAGATTCAGATTGAGACTGAGATTGAGACTTGAGATTGAGACTTGATATGAAATTGAATTATTCAATTTGAATTATTCACGAAATTGAATTATTCAATTTGAATTATTCACGAAGTTGAAGTATTCAATTTGAATTATTCGGAAAGTTGAATTATTCGTGAGTCTTGCGATGAAATTGTAGATATGACTATCAATTTTTACTATACTTTTCTCAGCACCTCCTGAAGATTGGTGGGATTTTGGGCCTAAGCGGAAACATTTCGGAAAATCCAAAAACCCCGCAAACAAAATCCGAAAAAAATCCAAAAAAAAGCTTTCCGCTTTCGTTTTCCCGCAGATGGCCGGGGCTTCGGGGTTTCGATGGTGGTTGCCTGCGTCTCTCCGGTATCCTTTTCTCCTTCGGGTCTTGTTGAGTCCGTGTTCTTGTGTCTTGTGGGCCAGCTCTGTGCTCAGAGGACCCAGCATGGGGTGGGTTGGATGGGAGTTGTGTTCTCTTCATGTGTGGGGTTTTCCGATGTTCGACAAAATGTCGGGTGGGTGTGTTTTAGGTTTTCGCCTGCGAAAAATCTCGGGCGCCAACCTTTCGTCGGCTTCTGTGGGTGTGTAGTGGTTTTCTGAGAACCTTCTCTGCGCTACAGATTTTCCCTGGGATTTTGCCGCGGGGGTGGTCGCGGAAAATCCCAGGAAAATTTTGAGGAAAATCAAAAGAAAACCAAAACCATCGCAAGGAAAATTTCAGGAAAATTTTAAAAATCGGGCAAATTGCAAAAACGTGAGGGATTTTGCGCTACATGCCCGATTTTTGAAATTTTCCGGGACCATTTTTGAGGTCCATTGAAATTTTCCTGAGCCGAATTGAAATTTTCCTGAGCCTGTTTGAAATTTTCCTGAAATTTTCCGAGCAGGAAATCTCACGAAAATTTCACGGCAGGCTCGTGGAGTTTGCGACGTCCTTTTTCCCCACGCCCGCGCTGAGCTGGGAAGAATCCATCGATGAAGCCCTGGGCCCCATTGCCCAGCGCCGGGGATTTGTGTCAGGGCTGGTTCGGCTTTCTCCATATGCCAGTCGACTACCTCATGCGCAGGCTGTGGCCATTCTTTCTTGCGTATTTTGTCGCCCCTCCTCCGGAGGCTCAGGCAGCCGCGCGCCCCTTACAAAATTACTCTTGCCTCTGCCTCTCCCACCTGTGACGCTTCCCGCCTCGCCATTCTCAGGGCCCGCCTTGCCTTTTCTTTTGTTTCTCGAACAATGGGGCATCTGCCGAAGAAAAAAAAAACTCGAAAAAATTTTGGATTTTCCGGCCTGAAAGCGTTAGGGCGAAAATCTGCCCAATGAAGAAGAGGGCTGGGGATACAACAAGAGCATGCAAGTACGACTAGAAGCAGGAGGCTGCTGGTGCTTTCGACGCATATGCATAATTCAAAGTAGCTGTTTACACATTTTTATGCGCACAACTTCCGATCACGAAAAATCCTGAAAAAGTGGCCAACAACTTCGACCCAACAACTACAGAGGGCTGCTTAAGAAGTTCTTAAATTATGGAACAGCCGAGGACCAATTACTATACACCTGGAAAATGTTTGAAGCCATTTTTTCTAACATCAGAGAAGATTTTTACCTGGAAGAAGATAGAACACCTACACAACTTTGGGCGTTTTGATGTCGGTACGATACATGCTGTAGTTTTTGAGATTTTGTGTATGATGACTTTACTTTTCGACAAATATGCCGCGATCTGGCGTAGAGGATAGGCTGTTTCGCTGGAAACAGTACAGCACCTGCCTGTACAGTGACCGCGCAGGAAGTACTAGAGGAGCACAACTGCTCCTTATGCGAAGCGGTTACTTGTGTGGACCTGCTGCTGGACTTCCTCCAAAAACCACCTGTATAATTAGGACTGCGCGTGCAGCCTGATGCTTTGTATGATTTTTTAGAAAGGAATCGAAAAGGAAAACAAAGCTCCAGCTGTTGTTGCTGCATTGGTAGCGATCGGAAGATGTTGGTCGTCTGATATACCACTTGTCTGACACGACCGTGTTCAATTACTTCCTCTTCCTTGTCCGATCTAATGATAGAGAATGACGAGCGCGGGCGTATGTAGTTGACCATTTCGGTTTCGTCGCCTTTCTTGCATGCTGTTTTCCCTTGCGAGGGGGGGGAGCGGCTCTGCTTGTCTGCGTGGTGAGAGTGGCGCGATGTAGAGCAGAAGAGACACAGGAGACAAAGTTGTAAGTACTTTATTAGCTGCCGCGTGAATTATAATGGTGTGTTGTACTTATTTGGAAAATGAAGATTATAAAGTAAAAGTATGTGCAATCGCAAATGGTTTGATAATTTTAATTCTAAACTGTTGAAACAAGAGAGCGGGCATCGTCATCATGCTTCAAGCCTACAAGAACGAGGTCGTGGCGGATGTGTCAATCCGCCAAGCCGAACTGCGGCAGTTGGAACTAGATTACTACGTCGCGAATTATTGGCTCTGGTGCGGCGCGTCGACCATTGTCGGTGGGTTCCTCTTATGCATTGCAAATATGTCTGGGTCTGGAAAGATGAAAGGTTTGTCATGCTTGGCTGGCATGACTCCTAAGTCTGTAATGCGCGTGACCCAAACCCCCCACTTTTCTCTCATGTAGACGCCCAGTTTGCCATGCAGAATAGACAAGACTGTAGCAACTCCAAAACTTGTCATGCTTGGCAGTCGATTGAGGTTTTCTCGTTTTTCTCAACCAGCATCACAAGTTTCCAGACCCAGACATTTTTGCATTTGATACCTTTTCAACCAACTGACGACACCGATACCCTACGAAACCTCCTACCTCGTGTCTTCGGTTTACCTCTTATCCACAGGCAATTTCCCGTACACGTACACATGCGGTCTCTGCATGACAAAAATTGGCTTCGATCCTAGTCTAGCATGACAAGTTTTACGCTTCAAATTGGCGAAATTTGTGATGCATCTTGTACATGTACGGGAAATTTGTATTGCATACCTCTCGCTCACGTCCGGCGCCTTTGGCGCTTCCGTGTGCACCGTGACATGGGTATTCCCTCAAATAAAGTCACCATCTTCCGCCCCATCCAATTTGTCATGCAAATAAACATGTACGAAAATGTAAATGATTCTGTGTTTGTCATGCAAAAAGGGAATGGGGATCACATCATGGTTGATAAATTTCAGACAATACTGCACGGTCTTTCTCGCGATGTGGGGCCCGGGACTGGCGCTGCGGGGTCCCGACGGAATTGCCAGCTTTCACCGGGCAGTGGACTTTTTGAAGAAAGAGCAAGAGTCCGTCTACTTGATGTTTAAGCTGGCGATATTCTAAGTAAAAACATCCCCACCCCAGAGTTGTCATGCAAATCTGCATGCCAAAAAAGTTTCTCATGCGAAGCCCCATGAGAGGCTTTTTCTAGTCGTGTTTTGGGATAATTTGTGATGCTAGAAACAGCATGATATGATAGACCTGTGATGCTGCTGAACTAGCTAAACAGGATGACACTTCTACGAGGATGAACTTGTCGTGCGAAACAACCAAAGGTGGCTGATTTGTCTAGCAGATTTCCCATCTTTACCCTGGTATGGGGACGCTTTTACTCAGGATAGGCCATCTTGCTGTATTTCTTCTCCAGTATCCTGCTGACCTGGGTTTTCCCGAGTCGGTTCTACGTGCATCTATCCTGTATGCTGATTTTTGCGGGGATTTTTGCCTTTGTCTTTCTACTTATGAGGGTGCACAACTGCCCCCCTCATTTGTCGGGCATAAACAGCAATACAAGCGTCGGCAACAATGCAGGTCTTGCATGACAACTTCGCCCAGGAAGATTGTAGTGCTGTTTGAGGTTCCAGAATTTGTCATGCAAAAAGTGCCAAGGGGCAAAGGGTGGATTTGGTATTTTGCATTACAAATGAGGGGGAGAGGGAGTTGTGTAGTCTCATACTCCTCGAGCGCTCCATGAAGTCGAAACTGAAGGGATTCAGTATAACCCGCTCAGGTGTTACAATCTCAAACGTTACAATAGAATATGGAAATCTGTGATGCAAAAGGGCATGATCTAGCCACCTCTCATAGTATTGCGCATGACAAGTTCTGGAGTCCCAATCCGCACTACAATCTGGCGAAATTTGTATTGCAGAAAGTGGAATGCTCTCCGAGTCTGTCATGTTCATCATGCAAGACAAATCTTTTTGTCCGAGTCTGTCATGTTCATCATGAAAAGGCATTTTGTGATCTTTTTGTCTTTTGTTTTGTGCCTATATAGGATCCTTCTTTCCCCCTTTTGTTGCGGCCTCCCCCCGTTCCGCAGTTCCTCTGCCAAAAGGATCTGCTCCATAGATCTTCCCTTTACTTCTTGTGCTGACCGGTGTTTATTTACCTCTGAAGCTTGATCAAGGTTTCCTTTCTGCTACGAGCAAGAATACCTGTATACCCGGATGTCTTCTTTGTGACATGATGCACGGAATGGAGATATGCACTGACAGACAGGACCCCTTCTGAACCCCCTGCCCCGACCAACCCCAGAGCGGGGCTGAAGAAATTTTTTATGAATTTGTCATGCGTGCTAGGAAAGGAAAAAATGGCACGAGAAAATAATGACGAAGCAGCACAAGAAGAGATAGCTGTTGCACAATTTGGGGATGATATTGCGGTTACAGTACCGATGGGAGTAAGACAAGGACTGATGGGACCGGAAATACTGCAACTCATCCGCCGGGTGCTAGGACAAGAAGAACCCCAAGAACGCCCCAGACACGGCGCAAATAATCACATATTGGCGCTCGACATCAACAACTTCTTCAACGCGGTGCCAGTCCATGCGCAACGGGCGGAGGGGGAAGACGGTGCTGAGCGTGATGGGCAAGATGACGAAGAACAAGCGGACCAAAACGAGGGCGCAGAACAAGCTGCAGAACAAGGTGGGGGAAACCGAAACAGGAGGAGATTCATGGGAAGTCACAGCGTCAGATCACGAAAAGCTTAGTCTTTTTTTCATGAAATAACTTCAACGAAGATAATAAAAAAAAAAAGAACGGCAATGGAGCTGACATCTGGTGGGTGCTAAACGAAAAAGAAATGTGAACGATGTGGAGCTGACAGCAAAAACCAATTTAGATGAATGCTGATGGCGACGTAGAGCCTGCTGGTGGAATGATGATAAAGAGGCACCCCTAAAGTAAAACTTTCTCTCTAGGTGTGTTCGCAGATGCAGCAATTCATAGCAAAAATCCAAGGATGCAATGCGCAGGGAGATTCTGCAACATTTTGCTGCGAATAGATTTGTCATGCTATTATAAAAAAATAAGAGATGAACGCTCTTTCTCTCCAAGCAGCTATAAAGCTAGGAGCAGCGAGTTGCCGATAAGCAGCCGGCCGGATCGCTCCCAGGCCGTCATCATGAACATGCCGCCGCCTGGTCTGCCCGTCAATTAGTCAACAAGTGGTGAGACGATGTCGATGGGAGAAAAAGTAGACAAATGCCAGGCGAGATCCCAGGGCGCAACAACGTCGGGCTACGGCAAAAGTGCGCTCATGATCTAGTCGATGTTCCTGTCCCAGCTACCCTGATGGAAGGAATAACGAAGAACATAACAGTGCGGGATCAGCGTTGACGTGATATCCACCCGCTGATGCTGCTGTTCCCGTGGGTATGGTGCAAGTCCTTCCCATGTCTGGCACCATGCACGGGCTCCGGCGGCATCAGCGCATAAAGATGTCATGGCTGCGGTGGTTCCGTACTAGCGGACCGGCTGGAACGAGAAAAAGTAAGAAGCTTAATTAGAAGGAGGCGAGGTACAGCAATAAAAATTGCAGTAAGTTCTTTTCTTGTAGTAAAGATAAGTAGATGTAAGCTGAGTATCCTTGTTAGTCTTAGTCATGCGCACGGTCGACCTGACGGTGGAATACGGTTATCCAGGAGGAAAGGAAAATTTAATACGCAATGCAAGTAATAGAGTAAAGCAGTTTGTTGGGGGCTCAAGAGAAAAAGCTGATATTCACGTTTGCAGTTCTTTCATGCGGAGCTCTTACTTTTCAATTACGTCAGCTCCCAGAAGCAGATGATCTGGATATGATTTGTAAACAAATTTGAAAAGTAAGAGCTGAGAAAAATGTAAATAGAATATCAATATATTATTAAACCAACAACAAACTGGCGAAGAAATCTATTACTTTTTTTGGAAACTGCATACTGCAAGATAGAAAGCAAGGGCTGTGGACGGGGAAAGGTATATTCTGCGTAGGTCCGCTCTGCGGTCTACGCACAACTCGACGAAGATCCGGAACTCTGAAGATTTATATGCTGTTTTATATGATGTCGGTTGTGTTTTTATATGTTGTGGATCGCATCGGATCCGGCTGGGGCAATAAGTTTTTGCATGTGCATCGTGTGGTAGCCCATGGCGGAGAGGACCACTGTCCTCGAGTCTGCCCCCCAGCCCTGGCAAAAAAAAAAAAAAAAATCATGCAAGACAAATCTCAGATTCTATTGTAACGCTTGAGATTGTAACGTTTGAGTAGGTCATATTCAGCATCGAGACGCTGCAGAACGAAAACGCACTGGTGGACGGGAAGATCGAATCGTTGAAACAGTTGGGGAAAGTGGGAGACTTGGACGAATCGGCCACAATTAGCTTCGACCAGGATTATATGGATCGTGAAAACCACCAGCAAACGACGCAATTCGCGAACGCGGCAAAAACGAACGCCTTCACGACCTTTTTCGGCGGCGGCGGGAGCAGCGGCACCTCTGCCGCGGCGCACCCTGGCGGAGACACCAAGCGCGGGGAGTACCATCACGGGCTGTACGACACCACCGTCACTAGGGAGATCTACCAGGAGAACATGCATGGCGGAAGTTCCACCCATGGGCGGCAGGAGCACGGTAGCATTCACATATGATATAAATCGTGCTAGACGCAGTCGTAGAAGAAAAACCTGGTGCAGCGTCGTGTTGTAGCAGCTCAGCACCCCTTGTTATTGTTTGTCCAAACATCCTGCTGTTGAAGTTGAGATGAACTACAAGACAAGCACTTCTGAATAAAGTTTAGAAGCAAGGTGAAATTATAATTAATAAATGCGATGTTGTACTATTATAGCAATAGCAACGTATGTCGGATTCCTCAACACACGACCCCACTACAGGTGGATCCGGGGGTTCGGTGGCGCAGACAGTTCTCCGCTCCCTGCACGACTTTATGTTCTCATCTCCCTCGTCCGCGGTTGCAGCAGGAGAGGACCCCACCACCGCGTCGAGAAGACTACAGAACGGGCAGCTGTACCATGGTGTGAGTACTAGTGCTATCAACTGTAAAAAATGTCTGGGTCTGGAAGAATGCAACTTGTCATGCTGATTTTGGATTCTAAAAAAAATTTGTATTGCATGAGCAGCAAAGGGAGTCCAAGTTTTGGTACACGGAAAGAGCATTTGTCATGCGGTATAGGCATCGGGAAGCCCTCACAAAATCTGTGATGCTAGGGCATGCATCACAGACATCAGAAGTCATGCAAAATGTGCATGAAAAGCCTGGCAATCTTCCAGACCCAGACATTTTTACATTTGATAAGTACAGCCAGCGGCATTCGATCCCCGCCGGAGCCGCTTTCTGCGTCCAACCAAACAAACCAGCACCTCTATGCACTGCAAAAGTATATTAACGTACTCGGAGTAATCGCAACCTCGCATGACAAATCGACTTTTGTAGCTGAATCAGCATTTTTACAAATTCCATTTGTGTTATATTATTCTGAGAAAATTTGTACAAAGGCAATTCCCAGTAGTACGATAGCGATTTACATAGTTTTGCAATGCATAATCTCTTGGTGAATGCAACCAAGGACAGCGTCCTCTCAACCAGCACCGCCGGATTTCCAGGCGGGGGCACGGTGCCGCTTCTGAACGGGAGCGCGACGGCGGGCACGGGGGCACCGGAATCTCCCCCAAGGCCGAAGTGATGACGCAGAAGATTTGGAGTTTTCTACATATGCAAGGAAAAAACTGTGTAAGTGTAAGTCTGTGATGCAGGAAATGCTAAACTGTTAAGTTACACTTGTCATGCTAGAGGTGCGTCATAGGCCGCTTTCATAGAAGGTGTTTCCACGTACTAGCTGCGCATGACAGGTTTTCCCTGTAATGCAAAACGAATTCGTGAAGATGCTGATCTTCCTACAAAGTTACACTTACACACTTTTTTCTTGGATACTACAACATCACGACACCTTCCTGCGATAAGCACTGAGAAATGGAATAACTTGAAAAAGCCAAAACATGATTGGACGGCGGGTTTTTTTCGAAAGTAGCGATATTAAACTAGTCGTACGAAATGGGACTTCTACTACACGACGAGCAGGCCATCTAGTACTGCGCTAGCTGTACTTAGAACTTCCACAAAAGTTTCGCAGCTGAACATGAGTAGCTGCTCTGCCGCGCCCGTCTGCAGGAGAAGATGTTGTCACTTCTAAGAGCGGGGTAACAAATTCTGACGAGTTGTGGCCGTCCCACTTCTCACCCGCCCGGCCGGGTGGGTGACTAGTGGGACGAAACCAGGATCCTGACCAGCTGGCCGGATCTTGGCCCCCCCGGGTTGGGATCTTGATGGCGCAAACCGAACAAGGGGGGGGGCCCCCCTTGTTCGGGTCTTGGTGGCGCATACCGAACAACGGGGGGAGGCCCCCCCGGGCTGGGATCTTGACGGCGCAAATCGAACAAGGGGGGGAGACCCCCCCTAGTTCGGGTCTTGGTGGCGCAAACCGAACAAGGGGGGGAGCGAGGCCCCTCCGGGGTTGGGATCTTGACGGCGCAAACCGAACAACGAGGGGAGGCCCCCCCCTGTTCGGATCTTGATGGCGCAAACCGAGCAAGGGGGGAGGCCCCCCCCGGGTTGGGATCTTGATGGCGCAAACCGAACAAGGGGGTGAGGCCCCCCCCTAGTTCGGGTCTTGGTGGCGCAAATCGAACAAGGGGGGGGGCCCCCCGGGTTGGGATCTTGAAGGCGCAAACCGAACAAGGGGGGGGCCCCCTAGTTCGGATCTTGGTGGCGCAAATCGAACAAGGGGGGAGGGTCCCCCCCTGGCGCAACCCGAACAAGGGGGGCGGGCCTAGTTCGGATCTTGGTGGCGCAAATCGGACAAGGGGGAGAGGCCCCCCCCCCTTGTTCGGATCTTGATGGCGCAAACCGAACAAGGGGGGGAGGCCCCCCCCCCCTGTTCGGATCTTGATGGCGCAAACCGAACAAGGGGGGGAGGCCGTCCCCGGGTTGGGATGGATCTGGGCGGCGCAAACCGAACAAGGGGGGGCCCCCCCCTAGTTCGGATCTTGGTGGCACAAATCGAACAAGGGGGGGGGTCCCCCCTTGTTCGGATCTTGGTGGCGCAAATCGAAACAAGGGGGGGGGCCCCCCTTGTTCGGATCTTGATGGCGCAAAACGAACAAGGGGGGGAGGTCCCCCCCCTGTTCGGATCTTGACGGCGCAAGCCGAACAAGGGGAGGAGGGAGGCCCCTCCCCCGCTCGGATCTTGGTGGCGCAAACCGAACAAGGGGGGGCCCCCCCTGGTTCGGATTTTGGTGGCGCAAATCGGACAAGGGGGAGAGGTCCCCCCTTGTTCGGATCTGGATGGCGCAAACCGAACAAGGGGGGGAGGCCCCCCCCCCTGTTCGGATCTTGATGGCGCAAACCGAACAAGGGGGGGAGGCCCCCCCCCGGGTTGGGATCTTGACGGCCCAAACCGAACAAGGGGGGAGGCCCCCCCCCCCGGGTTGGGATCTTGACGGCGCAAACCGAACAAGGGGGGGAGGTCCACCCCCTGTTCGGATCTTGGTGGTGCAAACCGAACAAGGGGGGGGAGGCCCCCCCCTGTTCGGATCTTGATGGCGCAAACCGATCAAGGGGGGGAGGCCCCCCCCGGGTTGGGATCTTCACGGCGCGAACCGAACAAGGGGGGGAGGCCCCCCCCGTAGTTCGGGTCTTGGTGGCGCAAATCGAACAAGGGGGGGAGGTCCAGCTGGTCAGGATCCTGGTTTCGTCCCACTAGTCACCCACCCGGCCGGGCGGGTGAGAAGTGGGACGGCCACAACTCGTCAGAATTAGTTACCCCGCTCTAATATTTCTGATGCAGATGAACCAGATGAACTACAAGCAACTACTTTTTGACCGAGCCAGCCACACAGCTGCAGCAGAACTCCCTTTTAATACGAGCGCCAACAACATCGAACGGATGGCTACAAGCTTCTTCTAGGACGAAGAATGTTCTTGCTTTTGGGAGGGGGAACAGCAAAAAAAATCAGAAGCAAAGTCCTCTGGTGAATGAGAAGATTATACTACCTAGCCGAGCAGTAAGTACGAAATGCAGTGAGTAATTTGTACTGGCAGGTGCATCAAACAGTAATTTTTGATAGGTGTGGAGATGAGCGGGAGCAAGATGCTGCAAAAACTGAGAAGAACGCCCCCAAGCTCGTCGAGCCCGAGCGGTTGTAACAAGTAGGCAGGAGAAGCCTGCCGCTCCACGATTTGAATTGCAGCAGGCTGGTAGATCTAGCCCTTAGCAAGAAGGCGAAGAACAGTGTTAATCGTGTAACCTTGTTGATGCCCATGGGTGTACTTAGTAGATGTAGATGAATGAAGAAAATCGAAGATGTTATGATGACTCGATATGACAATGACGATGGTGACTTTGGGCGGCAACATCAACTATTTCTCGCCTGCCTGATGAAAGCATAAGTACTCAATAAAACTGCGCAAGTGCTGCTTTCAGGAGGGTCGTATATTTCTTTTTCCACCGCAGCGATCTATATTTGATTGCCACCGCAATTAGAATTACACACGACCAGGAGGACCACTGCCCAACATGGCGGACACGGCTTCCTCCATGCCGGGCACGGCTAACCAGCAGGAAACGTTTCTCATATGACAGTGCACAACTCGTCCCCTTCCCTCTCATTTGTCATGCAAGACGCCAAATCCAGTCGCTGTCTCGTGGCATTGTGTGCATGACAAATTTCGGAAGTAGAAACAGTACTACACTGGGCGCACGACACATTTGTCATGCAGAGGCTCTACGTGTGCTGGGGTTTGTATTGCTGGTGTTCATGCTATAGTACAAAGAAGGGGGAGCAGCGGGAGGTGTGCACTCCCATACCTCACGTCCGTAAAGGAGAAGAAACTGGTGCTCGCGTCCGTCCCCGGTGCCGGGCCGAGAATAGTGTCCCTGGCAGAGATATGCATCGCAAAAGTAGTATCGCTATCGTCCTGGTAGGAATTATTACATCACAAATTTTATTTTCGGGAAGAAGACTAAAAGTTGGAATTAGTACTATAGTGCTGTTTCAAATTTGGAAGAATATTTGTCATGCCCGTGCATTATTTCAGTGACGTGAGTATGATTATGAATTACTTTTACCACGAGTATTAATATCGGCCACTTTTGCAATCCATAAGCGAAGCTGAAGTCCTTGGCGCAGAACTTATATCACGAGAAAAAAGTGTTACAGTTACACATTGTTTTGCAAGCTCAGCATGACAGACAACCTCTGACATGCCAGACATGCTTCCGAGCTTCATTTCATTAGTGTTTCCCATTATGGTCTGCGCATTGCAAGTTTTTCCTCTCATGCAGAGAAAATTTGTGTTGCTGAATTGCCAACACATGTGTAACTGTAACACTCTTTCGTGGGATAACTTAGACGTATCCGTCAGTACGCTGCTGCAGGAGCATGAAAGATATCCTTTGCAAAAGTTGTATCGTGCTCGGTGGAATTAAAATACACTGCAATGATCATCTTCGTCCACCTCCACGAGGACAGATCCGTGCCTACTTAAATTCACTTGAATCCAGCATGACAAACTGCGTTTTTGTAGTTCTTGAGAAAATCATTTGCGATGCAATGCACCAGTAAATACAACAAAAGCACGATACAAGAACTTTTGCAATTGTGCATAACGGAGATTTTTTCCTCGCCTACAAAACGCACATGTACAACATACAGAGGGAATTTCGGCAGTTAAAGGAGCGCGCGGATGAGGAAATTTTGAAGACCTATGAAATGCAAAAGTATCGTACTCGTATAAATGCATCACAAATCTCCTCAGCGTGAGAAATTGAATTTGTAATGCGGATTTGCCTTAAAAAGAAAAAGATTTGTAATGCATGATTGCAAAATACGAGTGCGATACTTTTGCACAGGATAAGATCCGAAGGGACTCGAAAATCCAAAGCTTGGAAAATATCCGGTGTAAAGACGTCCCCACCTCCCCATATTCAAGTTGGCAGTTGTAAGTCTGCTAGACAAATCAACCAGCTTTGGTTGTTGCGCATGACAGGTTTTTTGGCCTCGTAGTCGTGTAATAATCCGGTTTACCTAGTTCACCAGCATCACAGATCTATTTCTAAGATGCTGCTTCGGGCACCACAAATATCAATAAAACGACTAGAAAACGCCTCTCATGAAGCTCTGCATGAGAAACATTTTAAGCGTGCAGGTTTACTGCATGACAAAAATGGGGTGGGAACGTTTTTCCATAGGATAGAAAAGGTGAGGCGCTTCTCGTCCTGCTTGAGCGAGTACTTGATGCTCCGCATGATGACAAAAATGGCTGTTGTGAAGATGAGAACAAAATCAAATGTCATCTGCGTGAAAATTATTTCTGAAGCTTTGGATAATTACTAGTTGCATGAAAGTCAAAGTCGCGAATTGGTTCTAGCAGTAAAACATACAACTCTTTTATCCAGGAAAAAAGTGTGTAAGTGTATTACTTTCTTCGAGGAACAGCATCACAAATTTGCTCTGCATGACAGAGAAAACCTCTCATGCGTAGCTAGTACGTGAAAACACTTACAAGAAGAACCTCTGACGCATGTCCAGCATGACAAGTGTAGGCGTCTTGCATCCTCTGCAACACACATTGACACTTACACAGCTTTCTTATTCTTCTTGCATATCTTCTGTAGGAGCTGGAGTGGTTCATGACGGAGGCTCTGCGGCTCGATGAACTGTGCAAGCAGCACATATGAGACTGCGGAATTCGACGTCCCCCGCTCAGTAGTTGTCATGCAACATACTAAATCTACACCCTGGTCCCTTTAGGCACTGTCCGCATGACAAATCTTGGAAAAACAAGTACCTCAAACACCACGACTACAATCCGCGTGCAGATAGGTTTGTCATGCGGAAGCCACATATCTCCCGTTTGCTTGTGTTGCTCATCATGCCATGCAAATCACGGGAAGAGCAGGGGGGGGAAGTTGTACATTCTGATATCACAAGCGCGAAGTGGACAAGTGGCGAGCAAAAACCGAAGCGCTGGAGGAAGACCGGCTTTTTCTCGAGGATCAGATCAAGGGCGCAAAACGACAAAACAAGGTTTTGAAATTATCCTGAGGAAAAACATCCCTACGACCCCAGAGTCAAGATGGGAAATCTGCTAGAGAAAAAAGCAACAAGCTTTGGCTGTTGCGCGTGACAAGTCTCGATCCTCGTAGTGTTGTAATCCTGTTTAGATTAGTTTATCAGCTTCACAGATGTAGCATATTATGCTGATTAGAGCATGGCAAATTCTAAAACACGACTACAAGACTATGCTTCTCATGGGGCTCCGCACGAGAAACATTTTCAGCATGCAGATTTGCATGACAACTATGGGGTAGGGACGTTTTTACGCAGAATAGAAAGCAGCGGTGGAACGGGCACAGGCGAGCTATGCATTGCAATAAATTTCATGTCTGGGTCTGGAATAAAAGTTCGAACTTATGATGCACCATCTGGATCACACAGAAATTTGTCTTGCATGAGCGCATAACGCTGCCCATCTTTTGCTACGCAAGTAGGAATTTGCTCATGCGGAACAAGCATCGAGAGGCCTGCGCAAAACCTGTAGTGATGTTGCGTGCATTTGAGACCAACATCTGTGTGATCCAGAAAATGCATGACAAACTCCTATACTCTACTGCCAGACCCAGATCGATATTTGCATTTGATACGAGCACAAAGGTTCTCGGCTTTTTTTTTGTTCATTTCGGATAAGTAGTGTATCAGATCCATCTTCGTGTTGCGGGAGCCACAGTAGCTCCTGCAGGACGAGTCGTTGTTTTGTAATAAATAAGACACGACGGACGACGAGAAAACTAAATCAAGTTCCGAGAAGAAACAGAACAGCACTGATGTAGAATAAACAAATTCGATGATTGAACAACACTTAAATCCGAACAACAAGGTCGCCCTGCAATCCAAGCAAGACGAGAAGAACAAACAGCTTGCCATACACGAAACTACGGCCAACAACGAGTCAAACCCCTCGGACTTGGAAAAAATCGCCTATTATCGATGGAAACGCAAAAAGCTGTTTCAGTCACTCCTCTTGTAATTTCTTATGCGGACAGTGTCCTTGAGTAGTAGATATGCTCATGCTGGTCGAAGAATTTGTGTTGCTGAGTGTCGTGCAAATACTAGTGCGGTTTGAGACTAGTGAGACAGTTTTTTGTCTCGGGATACGTATGTGGACGCGATTAGAAGACTGCAGGAGTGTCTATCGGATTCTCAAATCAGTTGCATTCTCAGCTGTGACATGATTTGTTGTCATGGAAAATTACGATTACCACAAGAAGGCCGCCAGAGGACCAAACTACTTCGCATGACAGATTATTGAATAGGGCTAAGTACCTACTAGCATCTTGATCTGTGCCAAATTTGTGATGCGAAAGTTGCAAGCTTGCCGATTTCACTGTTGCTGTTCTTGCGTCACAAATTCATCGTAAAATAGGCAGTTGAGAGCGTAACGCTTGAGAACACCATAATGCCTGCGAGAAGAGCAGGCGAAAGCAAGGAGTCTGAGGAGTCAGCGGGCCGATATGCACTGCAAAAGCATCGTACTCGTATTGCGATCATGCATTACAAATCTTTTTCTCAAAGGTAGATCAGCATTACAAATTTTTTGTGTCATGCTGAGGAAATTTGTAATGCATATATACGAGTACGATACTTTTGCAGTTCATAGCCGACCATTTTAGTAGAAAGTCAGGCTTGGATATCCCACGAAAAAACTGTCTCACTGTGATGATTTTGCAAGATCTGCGTCACAAGTTCGCGACACGTGACGCAGGGAATTTGCCATGCGCACTTCCCAAGGGAAAGCTACACGGTTGAAAATCTAATGTCTTCGCAGGTGTAGTAGCAAGACAAACACTATAGCGCTTCATTTCCTGCATCACAAGTTCACGACAACGAAGCAGTTTTTTCCCGCGATATTGGAAGAATTTTTCCTCCAGTGCATCGACGAATCGCGAAAGCAGTTGGGGAAAGGAAGGTACTATACTGTTACTTCTGGTTCTGTATGAAAACTGCTTTATCATTGCATAACAAGAAGTGCTCACTTGCATCATAGTACCTGCTCCGCACTTGTTGTGAATGGGATTGTCGCATGACAAAAAATCCTCGAAAGAAATAAAGGTACCCGCCGAACATCGAAGGCATTCTCGCAAGTGAGGAAGCGCTGGTATCCGACTGCATAACTCGTCCCGCTCCCCCTCATTGATTTGTATACCATGAACGCAACGGCAATTCAAGCGGCAGCAAGCCTGCTGGTTTTGCATCAGAAATTTGCACAGCAGTGTAGAAGTTTCATTTGGGTTGCAGCTAGAACTTGGCATGCTCATGCAAACAGTGCCAAGAGGAAGAGGCACATCAGTGTGCATTAATTTTTGGGATTTGCCATGACCACAAATGACGGGGAGGAGGGGAAGTTGTGCATTTCCATAGCGGGTGTTTCTGTACGAGAAGCTGTTCCCGTATGGGTTTCTCAAATCGATTGCTTTCTCAGCTGTTACATGATTTGTCATGCAAAATTGCAGCTAGCAGCTGCCACACGGTCGACGTGCTTCGCGTGGCAAATCCTCGAAGTGCTAAACAGCCCTCGTCTTGGCTCCCGCAGGACGCGGCATAGAAAGTCCATGCCGCCCGGAGAAAGAAATCTCCGATCTGTGTTGCGCAAAAGCAACTTTGGGACCGGATTTCTTTTCCACGGGCGGTATGGAATTTCTACGCCCTCGCCTTGGCTCCCGCAGGACGCGGCGTAGAAAGTCCATACCGCCCGGGGAAAGATATCTCCAATCTGTGTATGCGCGAAAGCAACTTGGGGACGGGATTTCTTTTCCACGTATGGAATTTCTACGCCCTCGCCTTGGCTCCCGCAGGACGCGGCGTAGAAAGTCCATACCGTCCGGGGAAAGAAATCTCCGATCTGTGTTGCGCAAAAGCAACTTTGGGGCCGGATTTCTTTTTCACGGGCGATATGGACTTTCTACGCCCTCGTCTTGGCTCCCGCAGGACGGGGCGTAGAAAGTCCATACCGCCCGGGGAAAGAAATCGCCGAGCTGTGTTACGCAAAAGCAACTTTGGGGCCGGATTTCTTTTTCACGAGCGGTATGGACTTTCTACGCCCTCGCTTTGGCTCCCGCAGGACGCGGCGTGGAAAGTCCATACCGCCCGGGGAAAGAAATCTCCGATCTGTGTTGCGCACAAGCAACTTTGGGGCCGGATTTCTTTTCCAGGGGCGGTTTCGAATCGTCCGCCCCGCTGCCGAACAGCCTGCCCCCGGGAGTCGCGCTTCTCGCACTAAGTCGCTATGCGCGCGCCTCCTGATGTGAGGCGAGGCCGAGGCCGAGGGGGGACACTGTCCGCCCTGATGCCGAACACCCTTCTCCCACTCGCGCCACTAGGGGCGCACACAAGGCCCCAGCGTGGGGACCCTGCTCCCACGCGTGGGCCTTGTTTGTCATGCAAAATTACTTTCAGCTGCCACACGCACGGTCGAGGTACATGCTTCGCCTGGCAAATCCTCGAATTGCTAAACAGGCTCATAGCGAATCTGTGCCCAATTTGTAACGCGACAGGTTCAACAAGCTCTCCCTTTTCGCTTTTGCTATTCTTACGTCACAAATTTTTCGTGTAACAGTTGAGAGGGTAAGAACGTTTGGGAACGCGATATCCCACAGCGAGCCGGGCTTCCGGACAAGATACGGGTGTCGGGCTCTGCGTGAGGAGGAGGAGGAGGAGGAGGACTTTCATCAGGCTGTGAAGCAGAATGTAGCATATGCTTTTTGTGCTTGTGCAGCAGTTCCTGCGAGCAAAAAGAATTCGGAAGAAGTCACTAAATTATACCAATACCCAACAAGGTTATCTAAACGATAAACATCAAAAGCAAAGCAATTCCAATTGGCGAATAAGTGATAAAACAACCCGGAACTACATCATCAATCCTGATGTTGAGCTTTTTTACCATTCAACAAAGAGCAAAAGCAAAACAGATTAGTCCAACAAGTAAGTCGTAGGGCGTGGTGGTCAGTCGAGATGATCAAAAAGCACCAGCGCGGAAGTAGTCGCTTTTGAAACTACAAATGCGTGTCCTCTTCTTCGTATGTTGCCGTTTTTTTGAAATCAAATGATGCACAGGACAAAGACGAAGAAGTGTTGTGTTTTTTCTTTCGCATTATCTAATGCACGACCCGCGTGTTCTGAGTGGTTATTTTTCTCTTACCACCCTGATATTTCCTCGAGGCCTAGTCGACCAGTAAAGAAAGCTATTATACACAAGACTTGGTCCAACTTTTTCTAGTACCCATAGTAAATTTCCCACACACGACGACGACGCACACTCATTGGATTTCTTTGGTTTCTGCATGACAAAATTTTTTTTCACTCCTATGCAGCATGGTAAGGGGCAATCATAAATATGCGGAAATTTTTATTTGGCGAAGTTGGTGGTACAGTAGCAGTATGCACGTGTGTGGGAAATTTTTTTGTAGTGTTTTCACCTCAAGACGCGCTCTCACGAGGACCTCATTATCGGTGGAACTACATCGTCGGACTCTGCGAAATGAATGTCGAAGATCCTTGAAATAGTACAAAGAGAGAGACCCTTTTGAAGATGATCTTGGATGAATTACTAGCTAAGTGCAACTATATCGAAGTGTGACTGGAAGCGGTCAACACGACGAGATATCAAAGTTGAAAAAAAAGGATCTTGTTGAATGCAATTTAAAGTTCTTGGTCATGCACGTCGACCAGCATCGGTGATCTGGAGGGAGGGAGGCTGAGTTCCTCCTGTGTAGTGACATACTATACATACTTTCCATCGCGGTCGGTCTCAAGATCCCTCGCTCCATGAAAGCGTTTCAGAAATTATTTTCTGCAAGAACAAACTCTGCTCCTCGGTCGCGAAATTCAAATTCTCGTCACAAAATTAATGGAAAGAGAAGATTCTTTTCGCGGTAAAAAAAAAGCAGCAACCTCGCAACTACAACCTCCTCTCGCCTCCTGTTTTCCAATATTTACAACTGACGAAGACTGCTGACAACAATATACGACTACCTCCTCCATCGTCGTCATATTCATTACTCATTTGCTTTCCGTTTATTTTTACAACAGCAGCCTCCACGGCCTCTACATCGATCTTCACGACCGTTTTCAATAAAACGGGACTGAGAAGAACTGAACAGCTTTCCATTAATTCGACATCTTAATTGCTACACCAAGCACGAATAGCACTTCATCTTCATCTTCAACAACGAGCTGCAAAAATCGTTTTGGAGTCCCCTTTGAAAAGTACATACCTTGCATTTGTTTAAGAAAAAGTAGTAAGTAGTTCTTCCGCATCTACTAGTACTCCGCAAGAACTTCTATTTACAAACATTTTCTTTCTCACCAATCTCGAAGCAGCTGCAGAAAAAAAAAAATGGTGCGTGCCGGGGCCAGTGTCGTCTTGCGTGCCTGTTTTCTGCGGGTTTGGTTTCTGCACCAAGGATATGGATTGGAAAAGTATCGTACTCGTATAAATGCATTACAAATTTGAATTTCCTCAGCATGATGAGAAATAAAATTTGTTTTGCGGATTTGCCCTAGGTAGAAAATAAAAGATTTGTAATGCGTGATGCGATGGATACTTTTGCAATGCATAAAGGATTGCTGTTGGACCACGTGGTCGGCCTGCGTTTGCAGCTGTATCAAATGCAAATATGTGTGGGTATCCTGGAAAGATGCAAGCTTGTCATGCTCTTCGTCAGTCACACAAAAATCTGTCATGCGTGAGCAGCAAAACCAAAAATAGCTTGAATTTCTGGCCACACTGAGAGATGATTTCTCATGCTGAGTAAGGCATTGCAAAGCTCCCGCAAATATAATACAAATCTGTGATGTTACGCTCTGCATTGCAGATGTTCTCGGCCATGCAAAACCTGGATGAGAAACACTGCTTCTGCGCTCTACCGGACGACCCAGACATATTTGCAGTGGATGAACCGAGCTCCTCGTTCACGTCTGCAAGTAGCGCAGGAGACTCGTTCTTGTCGGCTGCTTCCGATCTTGGCGGCGGCGAGCCCTTCCCTCACGTCGATTTGCCCGCCGCCCCGCCCAGGAGTATTTATTCAGATGAAAAATCCCCCCTCCGCCCCCTCCTCAAAATGGAACCTACTTGTGATGCCGACTCATTTGTCGCCGCCGTCATGTGAAAAAATCAGCCTCGTCTTGCATGATACGGCTACCGAGGCTGTGGTGGAACCATATGGCGTATTTTCCAAAACCAATCAATATGTAATGGATGCGCAAGGCTTAGGCTTTTCCTTTTGATGCCAGCTGCAAAAATCATTGCCGTATTCAATTGCTAGCCTTCTGCAAACGACCCAATCAACAGGGTCAGAAATAAATGCCTCCAGGCCCTTTCTGCAATACAAGCCCGTTATTTTGCGCACGCGTACGCAAATGCAAATCCAGCATACAGAAGTCGCCTTTTGATGGTACAGCCTTTATTATTGGGTAACTAGGTGCTTTAATATGTTCGTGTGCGCACGGTGCCTCGCGATAGCGGTGGTTTAAGGTTTTAGTTGATCGTGTACCACTTCAGGGACGCCCTGTCCTTAGACTTCCGAGACCAGAAGTCGCCTTTTGAATACGGGGCCGTGGGAGGATTTTCATTTTGATAGTACTCTCCGGACGACGCGAACATCTACATCTATCCGACATGCGGATACGATTATGCAACCGATCACAGAGAGCGAACGTGCCAGTGCGAGTGGCATTTCGTTTACCGACAGAGCTATAAACAGGTCCAGAAATAATATCACCAACGATCCTCACATGCTTGAAGCGCGAAACAATGCAGAACAACAAAACGGGGGTCGCTTTTTTACAGCTGATGAACGCCGCGAGCGGCAGAGACGGCGGCGTGATGGCAATCGCAGCGCAACACCAGTCCGGGGGCTCGTGCCGCAACCGCGTCCCCGCAACAGCAGTCCGGCTGGCGTCGCAACAGCAGTCCCGTCACCGCCGGTCGAGGCACATCATCTGTATCAACCGAAAATATCGATCTGTGTCTGGAATATAATTAAAAGTTGTCATGATATTGAGTAGCATTTTTGGATTGATCTTCGGATCTTCGCGACTGAGCGGAAAGTACTCAGCCAAGCATGACGATCGTTTGTTTCTACAGTGTGTATTGCGCATGGTACCTATTAAAATAAAGCAGCTTCCTAATAAAGCAGAAATTAGAAGTTATAGCGCTAGTTAATAGTGCTATTAATAATTTCTACTTTCCGCAACATGCACTACAGACACAGAGGAACTCAAGAGTTGTATTTTCGGGCTTCATGCCAGCACAAGTTCTTCTACTTCGACAATCTAGTTTCAGACGCAGACCTAGTTCTTGCAATGCATAAGGTGCCACAACAGCAGACCATGGGCGGTGCTTCCTCCTCGTCGTCCGGGGCCGCGTCCGCGCCACAACAGCAGACCATGGGCGGTGCTTCCTCCTCGTCGTCCGGGGGAAATGTGCCTCCCGCTGCTCAGACAAATGGCCGACGCCGCAGAGCAAGGCTCGACCCCAATGTGGAGGTTGTTGCTATACCCGATGAGATGTCGACGCGACGTCGGTGCATTCTTTTTCAAAAAGCGGCTGCGACAGCCGGAGTTGTCGCCGGAGGCGCTGGCTGCGTTGCTGGGATGGCGTCCGGTTGTACCCCGGCGCACGCAGTAGTTTCTATTGGCTCCGCTTGCTTTGGCGTAGCCTGCTGCGATTGGCGAGAAAAGAAAAGCCAACAACTGCAGCGGCGCGTCCCGGTAGCGCACCACAGAGCGGAAGGCAGTGGTCTTCCGCGCCTTCCACCGGGGATCGCTGTGGGGCACGAAACTACTGTGCAAATGTTGGTGGGGGGGCATGGTGCAGCGGCGCAAGGATCCGCGCCGTCTGGAGCCACTTCTGCGGCCGCGCCTGGAGGTGCCCAACATGATCCACTAAGTAACCGTGCTGCCATAATGATAGAAATCCTCTTTTAAACCCTTTACTGGGTAACATCATCATCATCAACTTGATGCTCTTTCATAAAATGGATAAGCAAGCGTTGCCTAAAATCAGCTTTACGTAGTAAAAGCAAAGCTAGAGTTTGCTCGTTTTTTTATATCTTTGACGAGAGTAGAAGAACAGAAGCATGGCATCACTGCATGACGGTTGCTGTGAAAGTCTACCTCTAAGTCTTTAATATCCCAACACCAGGAGGCATCAAAGCAAACAGAGCCAAGTATTTTTTACGTTACGGCACAACTACACAACTTTTTTAGCCTTGTTGGCCCTAATATGTTGACAAAACTCTGTACTTCTATTGCAACGCGAAAGGACGAAAATGCACTATTCCATACAACAATTTCTCTCCGAGAAATAACAGATTTCGCATGCCATCATGAGTTCTCGAAATAAAAATGACAAACGACTTCTTTTCTGAAAATTTCGCGAGCTGCGTACGTTTTTCTCTATTTTATTAAATGTATCTATGTATAATGTGTGACTTAGCATGCGATGACAGCGCATGCTACAAAACGGCACTACAAACATCTTGAGAACAACAACTGTAAAAGCAAAATCCTTTCGTTATTTGTTCTCGACGAGCACACTGCAAGCAAAAAGGCAAGGACAAGGAATTGTCTTTCTTTGTCTTGCACAGGGGTGGTGCGAGAGCTTATTGCGAGGTTAATGTTATAGCCAGCTTCATTTTTAATATATATGTTACGAAGGAAGTACATGAAGAACTCCGACTTCTTTCGAGTTATTTTAAGAACAGCTTAGTTCCTTGGTGCCAATTGTCCAACTAAAACTAAATGACACGACCACGAGGTGGGTTTAGACCACCTACTCGAGAAGTACTTTTTAGTTGTTCCCTGTTGCCAAGAATTCTTGTCCAACTACATGACACGACCACGAGGTCTACTCGAGTCGAGCCTGTAATTGTAAACAACAAGCTAAACACGACAAAGTGAATGTGGGTTTATGGCGGTGAAATGTATGCTCACGAAAAATTATCATTGATTATGTCATGCGACACAGACATACCACCACAGGAAACCATAAGAAAAAGACGAGCTCTCAGCTCTGTCGCGTGGGTGTATAGAGCAAAAAGTAATTCGAATATCCAGCAGCGTGAGTGTGGATTTATCTTTATGGTGGTGAAATAACACCGAGATCATGCTTTCGGTTAGTTGCAGCCACACATCCCGCCACCACAGGAAACTTACTGTGAAAAAAGGAAGAGCTCTCAACTCTGTTGTGTAGAGCAAAAGGCACTTTGAACATCCAGCCCAACTATGCGAGGACCGCAGGTCCGGAGACAGCACCCCATGCGCTCTCTTTGAGGATGTTCAAGAATGAAAGGGAATAAACAGAGCAAGCATTTGATCCAGATAGAATTTGAAGTTGAAGAAGTCGATAAAGTGTTCAACAACACGACCAGGCCCTGAGCCAAGTCTTGCCGAGCTGGTGAAAGAGGACAAGAAGTTCTGTCTTTCTGAAAGTCAAAGTGATCATCAGGAGGAACAGCGTTTAGGAAGATCTTCGCAATTTTTTACTGTTGCTTGCTCGTCCTCACGGACCGACGCCCTTTTTGTCCGAGGTTTGTATGTAGCAAAAGAGCAAAGAGAGTACACTAGTAAACACGATCGCCGACCACGTATTATTTTCATGCTCGTCTACTCCTTGCATCGATGAAAAATAAGAGACATCAAAAATGCACTGAAACGAAATCGACTGCTTTCTGTACTAGAAAGTGCTATAAATGGACGCTTTCAAATGATTCTTCCGTTCTGCAAGAAATGCAGATCCAGACGTCGATATCAATCAAATGTTCGAAGTCGCTACTTGCTAAGAAGATAATATGTTCAAAGCTTGCAGCTCGAAATATGTTCCGTCAAGGTCTACCTGTACAGGTGAGTCGTTCAAAAATCTTCGACGAAACATCAACAGTATAGAAAAGATGAAAAATCATACCTCTTCTACAAACATTTTTTCATTTTCAGCTTATGTACTGTCGTATCCGTCGTCCGTGCTGGTTGGACAAGTAAGAGTCGCAGCTCCGTTTAGAAGGACTAAGTTCTAGTATAGAAGGACGACCAGAGTGACATCCCATCTTCAGCTCAATTCCGCCTAGAAATTTTTGAAACCCTGGTGTCATCTCAGTGCAGTTTATGTAGCCCATGTAGTTGCACCTTCTTCGCCTCCTTATCTTTTCTTCTGGGAACATATTTACTTTTGGAGTGGAGAAAATAAACGAAAAGAATCGCTTCTGGCGAGACTATTTGTGCCTTGAAACGCAAGTTGTAGAAAATGGGCACCTCCAAGGATGTGCGGCGAGAGAAGAAGCATCTGCTGATGCAGTTTCTCAAGCAGCGCATCAAACCCGGCTGCAAGGACGAAGAGAAGGCCCGGGACTTGATATCCTGTGTAAAAATGTCCCCACCCGACCAGAGTTGTCATGCAGGTCTGCAATGACAGGGAACACTTGTGATGCGCATCCCCATGAAGATAGGCATTTTGGAATTTGCAATGGTGTAAACAGGATCAGCAGATGGATTTGCAATGCGGCTGTCCTTGCTCACCTGCACTTCTACATTGTCATGCGTGACTCCCAAGTACTAGCACATTCTGTTTATGTCTATCATGCTCCTGCGTGAGGGCTCCCAAAGCTTGAGCTTCTAGGTTCGTGTTGCAAAATCCCCATCTACCTGACGACTCTGCGGTGTGGGCCCCGTAGTTTTTCCTCGGGATACTTGATTAACTTGGGAAAAATGTGCGGGAGAAAGCATGGGCTCGGGTTTCCCTGGTCAAAATTCGGAAACGAGATCAAGAAATACTATTACCCCGGCGACGCGGCCTTTATCGACTGCAGCCACCAAGCGGTGGACGTTTTTCGGCAGATTTGTGCCTGGTACGGAGAGGAAGTGCACGAGGGCGCCGCCTGCGAGACCGAGCTGGACCTGGAAACCAAGTTACCCACGGCAAAGATGAATCGTACGAGCACCTGACGAAGATGACTCCAATGCGGTCACCGCATGACAAAGTTTGCCTTCCACCCTCTTCCGCATGACAAGTAGCTACACACTCATCTTCTTTCTAAGTTGATGTCGAAATTTGTAACTGCGCTTTGTGTGTGTATGTTTCATTATGTGTGCTAGTACGGTAATAATTTGTATTGCATAGAAGTATGAGAAAGAGCGGGAACGGCGAAAAAGGGAGGAAGAGGCACGGGAGCAAGAGAAGGAAGAGGTATCTATAAAATCAAGAAGTTTTTTTTTTCCTTCTGGCTCAATGATATTGCATCGAAACTAGAACAAGTACAAGCGCATTCGTAAGATCAAAGGCATTCGCCACGACTCGCGAAGGCAAACAGGTGGCGAAAGATGAGTTCACCACATGAAAATAAATGCTAGATGAACCTTTTGTGGAAAAGGATATTACTTGCTGGTTCTCGACCGTCGCGGCAAAATCTTTGGAAAAATATAAAATCAAGTATAAAAACAGATCGCGAAGGAGCTTGCGGCGGAGCCGGAGTCTGGCTCTGACGAGGACAAGAAAAAGCGCCGAAAGAAAAAGATCAAGAAGTTGGATCTGCAGATTGAAAAGGTGCAAGCGGAGCTGCGCAAGCAGAAAATCGACAACAAGCGTCTGAAGGAAAAAGAAGAGAAGAAGAATAAGGTGAAAGTGAAAGCACCAGAGCCGTATGAACTGCAAAAGTATCGTACTCGTATAAATGCGTTACAAATAATTTTCTCAGCGTGAGAAATAAAATTTGTAATGCAGATCTGCCTTAAGAAAAAGATTTGTAATGCAAGACTTGCATTTATACGAATACGATGCTTTTGCAAAGGATAAGCCGCTTTTGACGACAAAAGTCTTGCTGGGAGAGGACAATGTGATGGTGAAGGAGCAAGAAAAAAATCGCCAGCGGGAGAAGGATATGAAATGCAAAAGCATCGTACTCGTATTCCAGTCATGCATATTTTTCTTAAAGTAAATCAGCATTACAAATTTTATTTCTCATGCTGAAGAAACCTGTAATGCATTTATATATACAACGAATACGATGCCTTTGCACTGCATAAAGAACGCGAAGAAAAGACACCCGAAGCCGCGGAAGTTTGAAGTTGTTTTCAGTTCGCAGGAAGACGAGAAAAAGAACGCGAGCGATTTCCACACGGACGACATGAGCTCCAGTGAGGATGAGGAGGAGAAAAAAGCAAAGGAAAAAAAGAGATTGGACGCCGAGAAGAAGCGGAATAAAGAAGGTTCTACCGGCCGCGGTCGGGATACAACAACTTCTCGGCGCTCCTCGAATATTAATCATTCGCGTGGCCGCCGCCGCCGTCGTGGTGACGACCGAAACTACGAGCAGACGGCCGCGAGGAACAAAAGCAAAGGTTCTGACTCATCTTCTTCCCGAGCAGGAGGACGATCACGGGGGAATATTAAAGCGGAAAAGAAAAACTACCTGCGAAAGAAGCACAGGAGCGGCGGCAAAAGGAGCAGCAGCGGCTCCTCCTCCTCTGGACGAGATCGAGATGAAGAAAAGAACAAGCGCCTGTCGAAGAAGGAAAAAAAGAAATTGAAGAAGGAAAAGAAACGAGCGGCGACGTTGAAAAGGAGCAAGGAAAGGGTAGAAGTAGAGGATGAAGACCATGATGCTAGTAGTGCTAGCGATGTTGTAGATGATGCTGTTCCTAGTGGAAAAACAAGAACAAAGAAGAATAGAGATGATCATGGCCGCACGACCAGGAGCTCCAAGAAGGCAAAGAAGCAGAAAAAGACTTTGAAGCGCAAGCGAAAAGGCAGATCTTCCTCGGAGGTGGACCATGAAGATTCTTCAAGTCATGATGCTGGGGAGGAAGATCGCTCCTCCTCTCCCAGGGAAAATCATGTTCAGAAGAAGACGAAAAAAGAACGCAGTCGTGATGAGACCACGAACAAGAAGAGTGCAGCTACGATGAAGAATGAAGGACAAGAACCTCCATCGGGACGAGCAGGCTCGGGTCAACAACAAGATAAACCTGAGGACAAAATCAAAAATAGCGCGATGAAGGAAAAAATTCTTTCACCGGCGCACAGGCACAGCGAAGTAGGCAGCGACGACGACAAAAAGAACAAACGCGAGAAGAAGAAACGGAAAGTGAGTCAGGAGAAAGAACAAGCACATGCGTCCAAGGGGGACGAGAAAAAGAAGACCAAAAAGAAGACAAAGGACAACAGCAGCTCTGCGGCCGCCTCCTCTAGCAGCGCCAGTGAAGGCGAAGTAGAGAAAAAGAGAGCAGTATCCTGTGCAAAAGTATCGTACTAGTATAAATTGCATTACAAATTCACTTAGCATTACAAATTGAAGCTGTAGTGCGGATTTGCCTTAACAAAGAGATTTGTAATGCATAAACGCGATCAGTACGAGTACGATAATATTTTTGCAATGCATAAGCAGCCGCCGGTGGCAAGAAAAGTCCTGCTCGTCGTGGAGCTGTTTCCTCCGGTGGTTCTTCACACCCTGAAGAAGAGATGCCATCTGCGAGTGACGTCACTGACAAAGATGAGTCTTCTGCTGACCACCGAGACGAGGATAACTCGTCGTCTTCCTCGGGCGGTGATCATACTTCCATATGCATTGCAAAAGTATTGTATTTTTCGTATAAATGCATTACAAATTTCCCCAGCATGTTGACAAATAAAATTTGTAATGCGGATTTACCTTTAAGCAAGAGATTTGTAATGCATGAATGCGATTAGTACGAGTACGATACTTTTGCACAGGATATTCCAACGGTACAACTAGCGAGGACGAAAAGGAACAAACTGACAGCGAAGGTGGAACATCAAGTAGCCTCTCGAGCAGCGGAGGTCGTCGTGGTGCCAGTCGTGAGAAGAAGAAAAACAAGAAGAGCAAGTTGGAGGGCCGCAAGAAGTCAAAATCCAAATCGAAATCGAAATCTAAAGCGAAGAAACTTAAATCCAGCACAGGAGCTCCTGCCCCCACTTCTGCGAACAAAAAGAATGGAGCCGCGAACAAAGACCCAAACCGCAAAACGGCTTCCCGGGAGAGAAAGATTGCCTATCTGAAGGCGAAAATCGAGGAGGCGAAAAAGCTATCCTGTGCAAAAGTATCGTACTCGTATGAGAAGTGGCAGTCTTGCATGACAGATCTACCACTGTACCTCAATCAGCATTACAAATTCTATTTTTCCCTGTGCAACAATTTGTCATGCTATTTGTACTAGTACGATAGTTTTGCATTGCATAAAAGCAAAGCAGGCAATTAGACGAGAAACTAGCTGCGAAAAAGGAAAATAAAGCTACGACGTCGAAAAATATAATTCGAGAACAGAGTAAAGAAAAAGAAAAAAACGAGAAGTTGTCCAGGCCGAAAGTATATCAACTGTAAAAATGTCTGGGTCTGGAAGAATTAATGTTTGTCATGCTTGTCTGGCATGACTCTTAAATCTGTCATGCACGTTACCCAAGAGCTCCGCTTTTCTGTGATGCAGAAGCGCAGTTTGTCATGCAGAATAGGCAACACCTAGGAGCTCAGAAACTTGTCATGCTGAGCCAGCATCTGTAGCCTCATCATGAGACGCCACCCAGCATCACAAGTTTCCAGACCCAGACACTTTTACTTTTGATAAAGTAGAGCTCCGGAGTCGCAGCCACTCCCGCCGGCGCGGGCAGTCAGGTGGAACCTCTTTACGCAATGCAAAAGTATCGTTCTAGTAGAAAATTTTGTCAGCATGATGAAAATACTGGAATGAATTTGTAATGGTAATATTAGTTCGTGCACACCACGACCACAAGGAAGATACTAGATCTGTCATTCACCATTATTGCGAATACTACGACTGCGATGCTATTGCAATCTGCATACTCTTCTTCGTCCCGGAGCAAGTCCTCGCGGGGCAAAGGCTCGAGGTCCAAGGAAAATAAACGGAGTCGGTCCAGTATCCTGTGCAAAAGTACTATCGTACTAGTATAAATTGCATGACTAATTAGCTTAGCACTACAAATGGAATTTGTAATGCTGTTGTAGCTAAGAAAGGCGATTTGTCATGCATGTCTGCAATTAGTACGAGTGCCATACTTTTGCAATGCATATCCAGGTCGGGTAAAAATTCTCGAGGACGCGGTCGTCGTGGTGGAAGTGGGCCACGGAGGAGGAGATCACGCTCTCGGTCCGGCAGCTATGAAATGCAAAAATGTCTGGGTCTGGAAACTTGTACTGCTAGTTTGTGCATGGTAGGCGCACTGCGTTACGCAGCCACGCATGACAAGTTTCTGAGCTCCTATATGTTTCGCTTCCCGCATGACAAACTGCGTTTTTGCATGACAGGTAAGAGGCTGCTTTCCTGCTCACGCATGACAGATTCCAGAGTCACGCGAGACAAGCATGACAAACTTGCATTCTTCCAGACCCAGACATTTTTACATTTGATAGCAGCGACCGCCGAAGAACACGTAGGAGGAACGCGCGATCGAGGTCAGATTCTCGTCGGCGGAGCGGGCGCGGCGGTGGAAACAGACGTATCCTGTGCAAAAGTATCGTTCTCGTATTGCAATCATGCATTACAAATATTTTCCCCGAGGTAAATCAGCATTACAAATTTTATTTCTCGTGCTGAGGGAATTTGTAATGCATTTATGCGAGTGCGATACTTTTGCACTGCATAAGACGGTCCTTTGGCCGTCGCGGCGGAGGAGGACGCGGAGGCATGTACGGCTTTCGCGACCGGCGCGGATCCTTCGAGGATCGCCGCCGCAGACGAGATTCCTCTCGCGACAACCGTCGGGACCGCGGCAATAAGGGCCGAGGAAAGATGAACAGTGTTGACAAGGGCAAGGGCAAGAAGGGGGCGAGCACAACTGGCATCAGGAGCAAGCGGGGGAATGAGGATGCGGACCTACCGCAGAACGAAGGCGACTTAGCGTTGGACGCGTTCGCTGATAAGGATGATGTTTTGTCGAGTTCTGAAGAGGAGGAGATTCGGACGGCGGGGCTGAGCAGGGTGGTTCTGAAGGAACGGAAGAAAGACGAGAATGACGGCGATGAAAAGACGACATATCAAACAAAAAAGTGTTTTACGTTAAAAACGGTTTTCACAGATTTCAAATATGCATGAAAAATCTTTCCTGGCATGCATGCTACGCATGACAAATTTGTGCACGTTTTGCGATGTGTTACTGCATCACAAATTCCGTTTAAACATATAGCATTTTTTTCTGTGATACGACAGCAGGAATGATCAAGAAGGACGAAGAACAAGATCCGGGGCGCGGTATCAAATGTAAAAATGTCTGGGTCTGGAAGAGTGCAAGATTTGTGATGCAGGTTTTCCATGGCCCATGAGGTCTGGAATGCGAGACCCAGCATGACAGATTTTTTGAGGTCTCTATCATGCCTTTCCTGCATGAGAAACTCCCTCTCAACTTGGTCAAAAGCGGACAGCTTTCGGTACTCACGCAACACAGATTTTTGCATCATTCAGATTTAGCGTGACAAGTTCTAACCTTCCAGACCCAGGCATTTTTGCACTTGATACGCGCCGAGGGTCGACAAAACCACGGAGATGCTACAACAACTGCGGAGATGATATGGCGTTCTCAACTGTTACATTCTCAACTGTTACATGAATTTGTGATGCAAGAATGGCAAAAGTGATAGGGGAGATCTTGCGCGTCTTGCATGACAGATCTTCAGCCTGTTTGGACCTTCAAGAATTTGTCATGCGCAACAGCTTGATCGCGTCGAATCTGATTGGGGTTTTGCATGACAAATCATGTAACAGTTGAGGATGTAACATTTGAGAACGCCATAGATGAACCAAAAAGTAGACTCGTCAACCGCTGCGGTTGCCGGAGAACATCATGTTGATCAAGAGCATAACAACAAGCCTGAAGATGACGATCACGCGGCTACGAAAAAAGCTGGCGCCGGCGAGGACAAGGAAGATCAGCTGCAGGAGAACTACAAGACTGCTAAATCTGCTCCCAAAGTAGAACTACTGCAGCAAGCGCCGAAACATATTCGAGAGCGAGACGAGGAAGATAAGTTTGACTTGGTGAAGAAAGCGTTGGAAGTTACCAAGAAAACCAAGGAGAAGAATAAAGAGAAAGGAGCGACAAATAGTAAAGACTCCACGGAAAAGGACGACGAAGAGGCGAAGAAGGCCGAGTTTTTTAAACTGGGAGAGGAACTTGCGGCGGAGTTGCTGAAGCCGCAACTGAAGAAGATCAAGCCGAGAGCCAGAGGGCCATCGCCGAAGTTTCGGGTGTACTCGAAGGAAAGGGGGGCGAGGAGGTAATAAAATATGAGATCCTATGGTCAACGCGAAGTAGAAGCCAAGTTGAAAAATTGAAAACGCTAAAACTCCACGTGTGAGGATGCATGATTAATGTCACTGAAGCAAAACTTACCCACTGCAAGTAGAATCAACTGCTTCGAAGACCTCCGACAAAGAACGAGCCTCCATCAGTGCCAGTATGCTGCTCGGTGATGATGCTTCTGAACAAAGTAGGAGCGAAAACATCAGCTCTCGATGTCCAAAAGGAAAACAACTACATGAACATGATTTAATATTTTCGAAGCAGAACAAGGAGCGAAAAGGAAAAACAGGAACAAAAGTAGCCGAAGCGCATGATCTTCTTTCCAGTTTTTTTATATTTGTCGTGTTCTTGTTCGTTTTTTCCGCCGGGCAGCTTGCCGGGGGTCGTAAGGATCAAGAAGCGATCCCTTGATGCCCGGCACCAGCTCTCAACCAAGTACAAAATTCCAAATGCAAAGTTCTACTATCAACATCCCGTGGAGGTGATAAGCGAAAACTATATGTGATCCTTGTCACAGCCGAATGACAATGATGATCGGCCAAAGAAACAGACAATTTTCAGGATAAAGATCCACCATCCGTCATGAAAATCGGTTATGTATTTTTGAACGACATGGACACAATCCATCGATGACCACCACGACGATCCGGGCAATGAAAATGTAAACACATGACTGCAGACAGTCTCCACTTCGAAAATGTGACGTCGCGTGAGAACAAAATCTTCATCCTGGTTGTGTTCTGTCACGTACGTACCTCGCAGGAGTTATAACGTTGAAACGTAAGAACAGCAACAGTTGCAGTACATATATCATTATCGCCAACAACTATCTTAATCTTTGTCTTCCACCAAGCCTGAACTTCTTTTACGTAGTACGAATCAAGAGCACAAGCGAGCGGCGTCAGTGCCATTTTTTTACTTGTTTTATTTTCCTACACACAAATTAATAATAGTTGTAAGCCGCAGCGGCAGCTCATCTAGTACTAGTGCAGCTTCATCGTGCTCCTGGCAAAGAAAGTAAAACTCTCAACGCCAGGATATAAGAACCAGTGACAGAACTATCGAGCAACTTGCACTAGTAGCAGAAACAGCAAATAATTATAGAGGCAGCAAAGAAACATCAAGTTGTAGCCCGCAACAGAATGCCGACGTTGCTGCACGCCTGCCGTGGTCGTGTGCTGAGTCCCACGACGAGCGTTGTTGGTTCCATGGTGTTTCTTGTTGGTTTTTCGGTGACGGGGATGATGGCGCCGCTTGGCTGCCGAGCCGCGGAGAATCACGGAACGTCTCCAAAAATGTCGTTGGCAGATCTTCCGGAACCAGTGCTAGAAAGAGTTGCGGCCGGCAGCGCCCCGCCCCCGGGGGCGGACACGCGGAAAGTCGCAGCCCATTTTCGGAAGTATCAAATGCAAAAGTGTCTGTGTCTGGAAGATTGCGGCTTGTCATTCTAAATCCGAATCATGCAAAAATGAATCTGTGTTGTGGTTGCCTGTCCACTTTCGACCAAGTTGGGAGGGAGCTTCTCATGCAGGATAGGCATGACAGAGACCTCGCGGACTCTGTAGTGCTAGGTCCCGCATTCCAAACCTCATGGGTCAGGTCATGCTCATGGGAAACCTGCATGACAAGTTTACACCCTTCCAGACCCAGACATATTTGCAGTTGATAGGAACCTGCTTCGTGCAACGTGTACGAATGCTCCATGGAACTTGCCGTATGTGGTATCACAATGAAAAATGCCCCCACCCCCGAACTTGGGAGCATTTGTATTGCAAGCCTTTCCACCAAGTGAAACACTCGCCCTCTTGCATCTATCAGCATTACAGGTTTCCAATCGTGAATAGAAAAAATTTGTATTGCAAAAGACCCCAGCAAGAGCGGCGCTTGTCATGCAAGCGATGCGATACACGCCTAGGCTCTGCATCAGAAAGATTCATACTCCTTTCATGCATGACAAAAAGTTTTCATTTGGAAACTTCGCATCGCAAATTTTTGCAATTTCAGGGGTGGGTGGCAGTTTTCACTTTAATATGTGGATCGCGCGCAAGAATTGGGCACAGAATTGCGCAAGTTAGTTGAAGCCTTTGCTGCGGTCAAGCGGATACCCATTGCAAAAGCATCTTCGCACTTGGTATAGTATCTAAATCGCATGACAAGAAAGAATGGAATTTGTATAATAGGCGGATTGTGGTCCATAGACCATAGATCTGTCATGCGTGGCTGCGATTACTAGATAGAAGTACGAGTGCGATATAAAAACTTTTGCCTGGGATAGCAGAAGCGTGCAGAGCGGGCGGGGCCTTTTCATCCCAAACTCGCTGCGGTAGACAAAACCTTTGCCGGGTTACTTTCCCGCCCTCGAGAATCGAAGCCGGAGGAGTCGCTCCTGCTGGCAGAGTTGCTGCAACCTTATCTTCCGACGTGGCATGATGATCGGTACGGAAATTATGCTGGTGAAGATCCCCGTGGACTAGCTCGACGGGCTCAACGCAGTGTATGGCGTTCTCAAATGTTTACATTCTCAACTGTTGCGTGAGTTTGTAATGCAAGAGTGCCAAAATCGAAAGGGGGAAGATTGCGCCTTTTGCACTACAGGGTTGGCACAGATTGAGATTCTAATCCTATTTTGCGAGTCGCGAACTTGTCATGCGAAGCAGCTTGATCATGTAGGTACTCATGGCAAACTTACATGACAAATCATGTATTAACATTTGAGAGTGTAACGTTTGAGAACCCCATACAGTGCCTATCCGAAACTTCTGAAGATCCTCGAGACCGGGCTGCAAGCAGTGCCGCCACGCGCCGAATTTGGATTTGCCTTTGGGGTGAAGGAAGCTGATGGGCCGCGCGCCGAATTTGGATTTTTGATGGGCCCAAATGGGATCGCGGTTAATATGATGGAGCCCGTGCGTCTTTCTCAGGAAATTTTAGCAGCTTTCGACTTTCTCGGCCTTGCCTTTGAAGCCCCTCTGGATTACACCGACGATGCCGGCTTTCGGACTGGAACGTACCTCAGAATGCAGGCTGCAAAAGTGGAGGTGGAGAACCCGAGTCCGAGCGGACCCCAACAGGAGCAGGGCGAAGAGTACTTGCTGACATTGGAGATAAAGCTGGTGGCGCCACGACCAGTTCCAGTGTTTGACCCCTGGTTGACATATGGCGCGCCGTAGTTGTATGATGAAGCACTGAAACTACCAAGGCGCACATGCATATGCAAGCCTTCGCTGGCCGGCATTGCGCGTCGTGCGTGGAATCAAGAGGTGGAAGAAGATCTGATTTATTGCCACACCTGTGAACAATTTTTACCCTACTAGGAAAGTAGGGAACAAGATGAAAGGGCATTTATAGCATTTGGCGGAGGTTCATTAAAATCATTATTATACGAGATAGATTGTACTTGTAGATGTACTAGCTCAACAGTGGTCGTTGACATTCCAGCGTTTGACCACTGGGCGTAGTTGTATGATGAAGCACTGAAACCAAGTCGAGCTGCGCCACGCATAATTAACAACTTCTTCACTTATCCCAGCATGACCCGAGATACAACATACAAGAGGCGGCCTGAGCAGGAAGGCCTCTAAGAACTTATGTATGAATATAGAACGAGAGACAGAGATTTCTACATCGGAAGTTACAAACTCGCCATATTCATCCGCATAGGGGCTGTTCCTCCTCCTGCCTACAGTGCCAGTATGCTTCTCGGTCAATGATGCTTCTGGCAGATAGAACAGATTTAGAGCATCAGCTCTCGATCATGTCTAGAACACGTGACCAAACACGATGCATTGTCGGAGTACTTAGAACCGTCGAAAACAGGAGCAAAAGTATCGACACCCTTCCAATTTAAGTTTTTTGGGCAAAAGTGTAATTTTGTTCTTCCCCCCGCCCGGCAGCTTGCAGGTGGAATAAATGATCGAGAAAGAACGCCGCGCCCGGCTCTCAACTAAGCTCAAATTTTTGAATAGTACAAAGATCAATTCCAGCCCGTACCCGTGGAGGTGATAAGCGAAAACTATATGTGTATCTGATCCTTGTCAGCCAAATCAAGGAAGCAGACAAGTTCCTGTAGATACCTCACTGTTCGACAGTCGTCGGGTCGTCTGGGGAATGAGAAGATGAGGACCATGAGCGCACTGACAGCACACTGAGAGCAATAACATGATGATGAGAGAGGCACGCAACAAGAGCCTGAGCAAAGTACTCAGCTCCGTGAACCTCTTCAATCTCTGAATTCACCAAACGCACTAGTTTTGGCTTTGTACAATATGAGAATGCACGCAATCCAACAATGAAATGATGAACAAGAACAATGCGTGGGTCGCATCTCGACCCAATCCTTCGGTGTTCGGCGGAACACCATGATTATGATCCCTACCCAGATCTACAAGTTATGAGCCCCTTACGACTTTAAGGGAGCGGCGCAGCGGGGGACAGAGATGCCGCGACCTCACGCGCCGGCATTGGGCAAGGACTACCTGATCGGCGTCTACCGGCGGCACGGCACGTTCGGAGATGCGGCGCTCGAGGAGATCCGCACCACAGTGGCGGGCCACACTCAGCGCACCACCGCGGCGATCAGGTGCCAGATAGTACGGATGCGCAGCGCCGATGCCGCTTTCGAGGCAGCGCTGCAGGAGGCTCGGCGGAACTTCCGCCGTCCACAGCAACAACCTGCGGCTCCAGCACCGGCAAACGCGATTCAACCGCCAGCGCTTCCAATCGTACAGGTCGCCAACTTTGCCCCTCCACCCCCGCCGCCACAACAACACGCTCCTGCTCCGCAACAACAACATCAAATTCTCGCACCGCCAGCACCACCACGTCTTCCGATGCCGCCGCAGCAAGAGTTCGTTCCGCAGCAACAGCATGCTGCCGCGCAGCAGCATGTTCCCGTCGACGCAAGACCGGCGCAGGTCTTGGTCCCGGTAGAGGAACCTCAGCATGACCAACAGCAGCAATTCCGCGACCAACAACAGCGGGTTGGTGCAGTTTGCGCTGGACAGCGAGGAACCGCTTCGGGACGTCGTAGACACCGTTTTTCGGCCCCACGGACCGAATTTGTTGAGCTCGCACGTGCTGGCTTCGCGTTTCAAGATCTACGACCGGACCACGGAGGGATACTTCATACACGGCGACAAGATGTATTCCGCTAACAAGCGCAACGGCTTCGCCACCATCAAGGTTTGGTGCGCGATCCAGGCCGGCGGTCTTGATCCCATCTTTCCCGATGTGCAGAGTTGTTTCGTGTCCAGTCTCCCGCACAGCCTGACGTCGCAGCAGCAACAACTACCAACAGCAACCACCAGCGACCACGGCCAGCAGCTTCCGGCGCTTAGCTTCGCCACTGGTGTCGAGAAACTCGCCGCAGAGGAAGTTGACCACCGCAGGTTCGGGCACACCAACGAGTTTCCGGGCTGCGAAACTTGCATGTTCAAGAACCACCAGCACAAGCCGACGACCGGGAAGACGGAGAGCTCTGCCACGGAGCTCGGCGACGAAGTCCTGGCGGACTTCGTCGGGCCCACGACCCCCAGCATTACGGGCTGCATCTACCTGCTCATCTTGCTGGACCTCGCTACCCGGTTGAAGCTTGGTTTTGCGGCGAAGACCCGGCACGCCAATGTCGTGATCGCAGCAATCCGCATGTGGTACAGACGCTACGGACCGATCAAGATGTGGCGCACGGACGGCGAGAAGTCGTTTATTTGCTGGCCTGTCACGCGGGAACTCGGTCCGGGGATCCTGAACACGGTGCCACCGTACGAGCACACCTCAATTGTCAGCCAAATGATGATCGGTCAAGGAAGCAGACAAGTGCACCTGTTAGAATTGTTCGTCTTAGGAGAAGTGCAGTATGAATACCGAAAGAACCTCGTCCCATTTCGTCGAGACGGCAGCACAGAAGGAGAAACGACACGGCGGTGCGCAATCGCCGCCGGGGTCGTAAAGCAACTAGCCCCAGTGTGGCGAGACGCCACACTACCGACAAGGCTCAAGTCCGACCTCTATCGGGCGCTGAGCTTGAGTGTAGCGTTGTACAACGCGGAGACGTGGGTCACCACGACAGCGCAGGACGCCGCCCTGCGGCGGTTCCAGGACTCAGCTCTTCGCGAAATCCTCGGGGGCCATTACCGCAACGAAGGGAAGAGCAGGCTCGAGCTCTGTCAGGAGCTCGGGGTGCAGCCTATCGAGGACGAGGCCCGCGCGAAAAGGGTCGCGTGGATCGCCCATGCCTGCCGGGGCGACGAAAAAGAAGGGTCTTTTGCGCGCATCGAGGCGGAGATCAAGCAAAACACCCCGTGGGGGAGACAAGCGCAAGAGGACCTGAACTACTACGCAATACCACTGGAAGTAATCAAAGAAACAAAGCCGACGGGCATCGCAATCCGGGCCACGATAGACAGTGCCAAGCGCGTAAAAACACAGAAAAAGCAAAAAGGTGCAAAGGCGGGCGCACCAAAAAGCAAAAAGCGGACAGCGATGGAAGAAGAAAGACGACGAAGACTAGACCAGCAGCGGGAAGAACAAGAAGAAAGGAACAGACAGACGCTGCAGCGAATTAACGGGAAGGTGTGGACCAAACGCCTTTCGTCTAGCAGCCAAATGATGATCGGTCAAGGAAGCAGACAAGTTCCAAAAGGATCCACCGTCACCAGGTCCGTCGTAATCAGCAGAGCGGACACTGCGATATTCAAACCTTACTTTTATATGACCCAAAAATCACACTCCAATTAACACGATGAAATCCCGGACACAGTATATCATTTTCTTCTATTGTGATGATGCACTGATGAATGTTCATTGACTTGTATTTGAATGATAAAAAAAAAGCATAAAATGCGAATGAATGGGTTATTTGCTGTAATGGCACCTAGGTACAGTTTTTCCTTCCCCTCTTATCGATGCATCAAATGAAAAAAACAAAAGTAAAGCACTTCGACAGGGCAACAACTTCTCATCGACACCGACTCTCGCTTCTTTTCGCTCGATGTTTGTGTGCGTTGTTGAGTGTGCGTGAAGATCACAATTGCGATCCATCGGTACTTGACTATAGGCCTATATCTCCCCTGTGCATTTCCATCGCCGCGCTCGTACATGATATCGTCTCGTCCGTTCTTGACCTTTGATTTTCAGTTCGTCTACGTCGCACACTTTCCTGTATACCTCGCTCGTACTTGGATATTTGTCGTTTACGTAATCTAAGACCTATCGTAAGTTCGCATTAACTCGAAGCTCGTACGGGTCGTAGCGTATCGTCATTGTTCGATCGGGTCTTCGTATTTTGCCTTCGGTTATCATCGGTCCACGCGATCTAATTTTCTTGATCCCGGTTTGTGTGCGTGTTGTGGTTTTGATTTCTTCCTCCGACTCTTTTCCTTCCAACACGTTAAAGCGGTGAGTGCATGGATGGTGGAGCCGGCGCCTGTAACCGCCATGTACACTGGGATCACCGTTTTAAGCGAGCGCCAAAGTTCTTCTTGCCACTTAGGGCTACTTTTCCCAAAGCAGCGTGGTTCGATTTCTTTGGACGTTACAGGCAGAAGTGTTGTCCCCCCTCCCTCTCTCCGTTGCGTTGTTACTTCATGTTCTTCCGTCTCTGCCTCTAAGATCTAGAACCAACCAAAATTTACTGCTTCTACCATAATTTTTCCACTGGAGGTGTAACACCCCACGACACCAGCCGTAGCCATTTTGGCTCAAGGCGAGCCTAAATTAGTAGAAACCGTCGAGAGCGGGGCCCACTGCACTGGGCCCCTTGAGAGTAAGTTTTAGGCAGCCGGGTGCAGACGGCTGCGACCTAGATTGGATGAGAAGGAAGGAGACAAGATGTAACAGCAGGGGTTTCTCCCCCTGCTGCCAGTGAATCAACGGTCTGAAGTACACGCTGCCGTCGCACCGCAGAGGCTCCTCCAGTGATCGTGTACTTGAGTCGTATGACTCCGCTAATTATAGCGTATCGGACAAGGCCAAACCGCGGCTACCCAGGGGCTCCGCCACGTGCTTCCTGTTCAAAGTCGCCGATAGCCGCTTCGCCGTCGTGGAGGCGTGCTCTTTTTGGTCAAGACCCATGTAAAGATCGAGGCGTGCTTTCTCTTCGTGGCGTGGATACATATTGCTGACCAAGCGCGTGGGGGCGGCTTTGGGGGCGGAATGATCAGGGACTATATTTTTCTTGTGCTTTTAGTGCATCCAAATCTACATCTGAAACAGCTTTATTTATGAATGTCTGTATGCGGGCTGCTAGCGGAAACAAACAGAGTTACACTCCACCTGCTTGACACTGGAGTCCTAGGTTTGTACACCTTGCAGGGCTATTTGTCGGGAGGGTTTTTGCATCGCGACCAATGTCGAAGCTTGGGCTCCAGGGGGAATATGGTCTTAGAGCAGTTCCGACATTTCTCATTTTGCGTTGTCTCACATGCGACGCCCCTTAGCCCAAAGGGGTGCGTCGTCTCTTCCGTGAGAACAAAAACTTATGGCGTAAAATGGGTCGGGTCCTGGATCGTTCTGTATG